CCAACTTTGGTCAGGGGTCATAAAGCTGTGGAACCTTCATAGACATGTTTATGCTCTTTGCTGGGATGACATTGACCAGAAATGTTCAGGCGGTGTTGTATCTTGGACGAGACTTCACTCATGCCACTGCGAGTGTCTTGCACTGCTCCTATCATCCCTTATGATAGGCCCCTAAATTTCACTATTGGTTCACAGTGTCATATTATCCCCTATTCCGAGAAAACATGCTGAAGAAGAGGATTATAACAAGGAAGTGGCGCGGTACGGAGACGCTATTCTGATTGACACGTTCTCGAAGTCTGGTGCCATACCGGGAGCCCAATGTCTTTCGTGAATCGTCAAGCTGCATTCGATTTAGCCTCAACGCCACAACACGTTTCCCTCCCCGTCTTGTAGAAGACGCGTCACAAATCAGACTACACTCCATTCAAAGATTGTCAAGGACCAGTGTGACGCGGCATACCGTTGGTCAGGGTACCCAGGATCATTGGACGAACCAGCAAACAACTCTCCAAGCGTCGGGAGTTGGAGATCCACCCGAACAAGGTTCGTCTGGACCATCAGCCCTACCATCATCTCTTCCATTCACGCTAGCCGTGACTGACGTAAACTGAACCTGTCGAAGTAGGTCTCCACGGTAGAACTGGGGTCGATGCGAGAACACGGCTCGGACGTCTGTACACTGCGCCCCGGCACTATGAGGCGTACAGACGGACCACGTGTGGAGCCGCGTCTACTATGGCAACGCCGTCGCCGAGGACTCGGGAACCGCAGCATCGGGATAAGTTTTCAAGCTTGTTATAAAGATGTCTGCCCGGGCACGATGTTGCTGATGGTTTTAGAAGGCATCACCACCATCATTCGCTCTCTCTTCTCTCATTCACTCACTTGTCTTTCCTCCACACCGACTTGAACTTCACATCCTTCTAATATGTCCAAGTACTCCAAGGCGGCTCTTCGCGCTTTGGCGGCCAGAGCCAGCACATCCTCCCTGGCAGATGTGTGCACTGTCGAGAACGTGCAGAACGCTCTGCCTTCCAACGGAACTCTTCTTGGCATCGATCTGGTTCCCTCTTCCGTCACTGCCAGCCCCGTCTACAATGCCACCAGCGGCGGTGGCATGATGGGCGGCAGCAGCACCCCCCTCACATACTGCAACGTCACCGTGGCCTATACCCACACCGGCAAGGGCGACATCGTCAACCTCAAGTACGCCTTCCCGAGCCCCGACGTCTTCAAGAACCGCTTCTACGTTGCCGGCGGTGGCGGTTTCTCCCTGTCCTCCGACTCCACTGGTGGTATCTCTTACGGTGCTGCCGGAGGTGCCACCGATGCCGGCTACGACGCCTTCAACAACAGCTACGACGAGGTTGTCCTTTACGGAAACGGCTCCATCAACTGGGATGCTACCCACATGTTCGGGTACCAGGCCCTGGGCGAGATGACCCAGGTCGGCAAGGCCATCACCAAGGGGTTCTACAGCATGGGCGCCGACGACAAGGTCTACACCTACTACGAGGGCTGCTCCGACGGTGGCCGCGAGGGTATGAGTCAGGTCCAGCGCTGGGGTGAGGAGTACGACGGTGTCATCGCCGGTGCCCCTGCCTTCCGCTTCGCCCAGCAGCAGGTCCTGCACGTCTACTCTTCTGCCGTCGAGCACACGCAGGATTACTACCCGCCCCCTTGCGAGCTGGCCAAGATTGTCAACTCTACCATTGCCGCCTGCGATGGCCTCGACGGCCGTGTCGACGGCGTCATCTCTCGCACTGACCTCTGCAAGCTCCAGTTTGATCTGAAGTCTACCATCGGCGAGTCCTACTACTGCGCCGCAAAGACCAGCAGCTCGCTCGGCTTCGGCTTCAACAAGAGACAGGCACAGGGCAGCACCACCAGCTACCAGCCCGAGCAGAACGGCACTGTCACCGAGCAGGCCGTCGCCGTCGCTCAGGCCATCTACGATGGTGTCTTCAACTCTCAGGGTCAGCGCGCCTACCTCTCCTGGCAGATCGGTTCCGAGCTTGGCGACGCCGCTACGGTTTACAATAACGAGACCGACGCGTGGGAGCTCAGCATCCCCTCCACCGGCGGCGAGTACGTCACCAAATTCGTCCAGCTCCTCGACCTCGACAACCTCTCCGACATGAACAACATCACCTACGACACTCTCGTGGAGTGGATGAACACCGGCATGATCCGCTACCTCGACAGCCTCCAGACCACCCTCCCCGACCTGACCCCCTTCCAGTCCTCGGGCGGCAAGCTCCTCCACTACCACGGCGAGTCCGACTCCAGCATCCCCGCCGCCTCCTCCGTCCACTACTGGCAATCCGTCCGCTCCGTCATGTACCCCGACGCCAAGGATGACGAAGCCATCAAGTCCCTCGAGGACTGGTACCAGTTCTACCTGGTCCCCGGCGCCGGCCACTGCGGCACTAACAGCCTCCAACCCGGCCCTTACCCCCAGAACAACATGAACATCATGATTGACTGGGTCGAGAACGGTAACAAGCCCAGCCGCCTCAACGCCACCGTCACCTCGTCCACCAACGTCAACGCTGGCGAGACACAGATGCTTTGCCAGTGGCCTACTCGTCCCGTCTGGCGTGGCAACAGCTCCGACTTCGACTGCGTCAACGACGCTAAGTCTATTGACAGCTGGACTTACACCTTCCCTGCCTTCAAGGTCCCTGTCTACTAAGTGTTCGTGGGATGGTAATCAATTTCCGTCACCCAAAATTAAGATAAGAGAGGATTTGGAAAAGTGCTAGATCAAAGGTTTTCTTCATTCGATATCGCTCTAGGGCATATAACATGTAGTCCCCAGACGAGACTGTACATAGCTTAACTTTCATTTCAGTATATACATCTTTACAAAGAACTCCAACATTGTTCGCCAAGTCCGCATACAGTCAGACAAACGTGGCAAGAGAGCTGTCAAATCGCTGTGATCTTGTCATCGCCTATCTCCTTGTTGACACTTACAGCAGCCGGGTTGTCTTCCTTGGCGTCCGAGTTGCCTTTGGCTTTCAATTCTACTGAAGGCGCTACGCCAACTTCGGACTGGGTGCTCGTCTCCTCGTCAGTGGACCCAGTGTCGTGCTTCTTGTCCCTTTTCAGATAATAGTGCATGATCCAGGTGAACACAATCAACGCGATTGCGCATCCCAGACAGAACGAGAAGCCTTTCCTGTACCTCGGCGATTCTACTGTCGGGAATGTGAGCAAGGGCGTCCATGCCGTCGAGCTTTGCGACAGCAAGTTAATAAGAACCAAAGTGAAGCTCCGTTCCTCGGGGCTATCTCGCAGCAGGTTGTTGACCCATCCATGGAACACAGAAGACAGAGCATTGGACCAGTACATGGTCGCGAACCCGAACCAGAGACCGCCTTCGGGAACAGTCCATATCGTCAGGAAGATGAGACCGATGGCATTGAGGACTGAACAGATCGTAATCGACCAGGCCGGACCGAGGAACATATCCGAAGCGAAGCAAGCGATGAGCGTGTAGGCGATGCCCAGCGCGGGGGAGATGGTGCCCAGCTCGTTGATTCGGGCCGCGCTGTACCGCCCAAGACTCTTGATCCAGAGCAGGTAGGAGCCTGTGTTCTTGTGAATGCCCGCGTTCCAGAAGAGGACGTCGGTCGTGATGACGAGCCAGAAGCGAAAGCCGAGGAGGGTGCGCTTGATGTGCCCAAACTTCATCTTGCCGTGCAGGACGTGGCCGTGTTTCTCGAGGCGGTCTCGGGCTGTCTCGATGTCGTTGTCGTTGACGCACCATCTGTTGGGCTGGTCGATGGTGCCGGGGATCACGAAGAAGCCGAAGATGCCGACGGGGATGGTGATGAGGGCACAGATGATGTACATCCATCGCCAGCCTTCCATACCTGTGGTATTTCTCTCCCGTTAGCGATCGAGGGATTATGAAAGTGAGTCTTGATGGTGATTGTTCATACCGTGAACTCCTTCAAGCGAGCTAGATGCGCCAGCCTGGATGAGACCGGCTGTCAATGTGCCGGCAGCGAGACCGGTATAGAAGATACCGCCGCGACGAGCAATTTCATGGCCTCGATACCAAGATCCTATCTCAGAGTCAGCGATGAGCCCGAATATCGTTCAAGTCTTCAATGCGTACCGAATACGTAATGCATCGCTGGGAAGAACGCAGCCTCGAACCATCCGACCATGAATCTGTAAGCGGCCAGTTCTGCGTAAGAATGAACGCGGTACTGTAGCAGCGTGAAAACTCCCCAAAGAACGTCGCAAATTGGGATGAGATATTGGATTGGGACATAGGTCATGATGAATCTGGTCTCCTATTAGTGTGTAACAGCAGATCCTGGGAGCATTATGCATACAAGAAAGGGATCTGGCCCAAGACCGATCCAAGAGTGAACAGCGTTTGTAGCTGAACAAGCTCGTTTCCGTAGAACCCGAGGTCCTCCTTCATGCCGGCGACGTAGGCATTGTTCAAATTGGATTGATCGACGTATTTGACCCAGTAGCCTTTCGAGCTGAATGTTAGCCCGATAGCTGGGAGACTACGCGAGAAGGGTAGATCGTACCGAGAACCGAGTAAGGTACCAAGAGAAGGTCAATCTTCGTGATGAGGCGCCTCTCCTCCTTCGTATCATCTGGCGAGAACCATTTCCACTCCCACCACTTGTCCCTTGGGACCGACTCTTTCAGAGCAGATGCCATCGTTGCAGAGTCTTTGAGGCAATCGAGTAGAGTCCGCTAAGATGAGAACGATCGAGAATTGAGATAGTTCGAGACATACTCGCTCGACGACGGTTAGCGTGTTGATAAATAACGATTCGTGAGCCCTCGTTCAAGCTGGATCCCGCCCGGAAGTTGCCCGCCATTGCGCAATTCTTACCGAGCTCCTGAGGAGCAGCGTCAAGCTCAGCACTTCAATGGAAGGTCGCAGTGAATCCCGCCGATGCGGCCAAAAGTGGACTTGTGCTATCGTCAAGTTGTGGGAAGGAAGAACATTTGAACTGCCAAGAATGTAGGATTTTGCGATATCGGTAGAGAGTCTTATCGACCAGGTATCCAAATGTTTGGATTGGCTGGCCATCCTGCAAGTTGGCTGGCGAAAGCCAGGCATGGCAATGGTGTGCTGCAACCCCACAATGGTGATAGACAACCTTGCTTTGACGTCTTTTGGAGTTGAACCTCATTCGAATAATCGAGCGTTTGGCATAGCCGGATATGGCCCATGTAGCGCAGAGAGCCTAGATCTTGTGTTGAAGAAACTTGGTCATTCGTTGTGAAGTCGACTCTCAGTCTGTCCGGGGGTAAGATTAAATCAGATCTATTCATCAACAACTCTCATACGGAGCAGACACGACCGTTTTCTACCTCAACTCTGACTCAACACGCAAGGACCGGGTGACAACAACGGGTGGCACAGTCACAACTTCAGTAGCGTTCATCTTACCACCTCTGAAGGCATACGTGAAGGTCCACCCAGACCCAGCACCACCGTGTTCACCCTTGTTGTTGACAACCACAATACCGCTCGACACGGCCGGATACTTCTTTACCATGCGAACTACGGCGTCCCTCGCCGCCTCCTGAGGGCTCATCCCCCGTCGCATGCTCTCCACGGCCTGATAACAAGGCAAGAAACGCATCATGATGTCGCCGTCGCCAGTCGCGCCGCATGCCCCGACATCACCGTCAACATAAGAGCCGGAACCTGTGATCGGGCCGTCGCCGACGCGTCCGGGTACCTTGAAAGAAGCTCCATTGGTAGAGGTACCAGCCGCCATAATCCCGTTCGCGTCCAGAGCCATCATGGAGATGGTATCATGTGACGCCTGCGCTGAATTCGGTGCAATGAGGTCAAAATAACCAGACGAGCTGGAATCGAGCTCCACGGGCGTGTACGGCCCGCACGCCGTCTTGGGATCCGGCGTGACGTTCTGCCTGTAATTCGATTGGCAATTTCCGGCCCGCCACGCGGCACACCGCTCTGCCGAGGCCTCGGTAGTCAAGCTCTCAGCGACGAAGCCGTTCTCAATGGCGAATTCCGTCGCGAGGTCGCCAGCCAGCATGGTGTGCGAGGTATACTCGAGCACGTGGCGGGCGACGCCAATGGCGTTCTTGACGCGGCGCAGGGCGGCGACGGAGCCGGACTTCATGGTAACGCCGTCCATGATCATGGCGTCGAGGGTGGTCTCGCAGTTCTCGCCGGGGGAGCCGCCGAAGCCGACGCTGCCGTCGCACTGGTTCGCTTCGCAGGTCGCGCAGCCGATCTCGACAGCGTCGAGGGCCGAGGTGCCCGGCTTGACGAGTGCCTGGTAGGCTGCGTCCGTGGCTGCTGTGAAAGGGCCGCCCCAGGTGTTGATGACCATGGGGAACCCCGGCGATGCTTGGCCGAGAACGTGGTGCCCGGTGAGAAGGGAGAGGAAGAGTGGGGCGAGTGTGCGGGGGCGGAGGTCCGGCATTGTGGACGGTTTTCGGAGGTGATGCCGGGTTATTGATCGAGAGTGCTGGAGGAAGAGGAGAGAGGCTCAATCGTTTGATTTCATGAGCTTGGCGACTATTCGTCAGAACAAGTGACGATGTCGCAAGTAGGATGAGATGAGACTGGCCAACCGGTTTGCGGAGGGAGGATTTAATAAAGAGCACGGTCGCTCAAACCACCGCGCTGGTGTTGGTGTTGTTTACCCCGCGCGATAGGCTGATCTGCGCCGATAAACAGGGGTCAAGGGGGCATTCGAGTGCTGGGTCTGATGCGGATAAAGGTTGGAATTGCCATTAATACCACGTTACTCTTGGGGCGCCAAGCAAAAGTCAATGTCGCGTTATCAACCTTCCTTTCTGAGCATCATGACGAGGTTGGCGATGCCAAGGAAGGATCTTGGATATGATGGTGACGATCGAGTTAAAGCCTAGGCCATAATCTCGGTGTTGAGAAGAGTGAATGAAGTTAACGACGATGACTTCAGAAATTGGGGCAATTGAATCAAGAAGGGGGGGGGGGTTGAGATCATCTTTTTTGACATTGTCTATGAGCTGACAGCATACGACCAGAGGTCTAAGCTTACAGACATTAATCACAACATGTCCGCGCAGAATTCCTTGACCGCATCCAGAACGCGTTTGATATGCTCCTCCCCATGGGTCAGATTCAAGGCAAGGAACCCACGTCGTCCAACATATATCCTCTTGCTGAGGAGGTAAAAGAAAAAGAGGTCCTGCAACTTGCCTGCTGAAGGACCCTGGAAGTGCAAGCCAATGGCACTCCCGAAACCAGTCAGCTTGACAATGGACGCATCTTTGGATCCGAATACCTCACGCAACTCATCGCGAAGCTTGTTCCCCAGCTTATTGTTCCTCTCAAGCGCCTCCCTCGACAAAAGCTTGGTAGCCGCAACGCCCGCTGTCATGGAAAAGACGTTGTTGTTCCATGTTCCCGAATGGAAGAGACTCCGCGGCCCCTGCGGGTCGTACAGGTCCATGATGTCCTTACGCCCGCCGAACGCGCCAAACGAGAAGCCTCCGCCAAAGTGCTTGCCGATGGTGGTCATGTCCGGCGTGATGCCGTAGATCTCTTGCAGGCCGCCGTAGTTGAGTCGCGAGGTGATGACCTCGTCAAAGATGAGAATGGCGCCGATGCGCGTGGCTTCGTCTCGGAGGAACTGGAGGAACTCTTTTGACCCTTCAAGCATTCCCGCTGCGCCTTGCATAGGCTCCACGATGATGATGCCAATGTCGTCGGTGATTTGCGAACGGGTGTACTCAATGTCGTTGTACCGGCCGTACGCGAAATCGTGGGGAAGAATCAGCGGGTTGTTGGGCGTGAAAGCTAAAGTGCCGCCGTGATAACCGTCTTCAAAGACCAAGACCTAAGCGTGAGGCATGATTTAGTAAAGAGTCTCCGGCTCAAGGGGCAGTACCGACTGACCTTCTTTCTTCCGATGAAATGCAACGCCGTACCGATCGCCATGGTGTTCGCTTCAGTTCCAGAGTTGCAAAATCTGATGGCGTCGACACTCTGGAACCTCTCAACGAGTAGGGCTGCCAATTCGCCCTCCTTGGGACTCGGCCCGCCAAGAGTGAATCCCGACTTGGTAACGCTGTTGATCGCAGCGATGATGTTTGGGTGAGAGTGACCAAACATCCCGGCGCAATACTCGGACACGAAGTCGAGGTACTCGATGCCGTCCACGGATGTCAGGTGGCAGTCGTGGCCTCCGGAGAAAGCTAATGGGAAAGGCAGGTAATGCAGGACGGATCTGGTCGTTCCTCCAGGTAGCGACCCTGAGGCTGTCTTGTTGACTTGCAGCGAGCCCTGGTTTTCTGCGACATACTTTTCGACGTATGCGTTCAATTGCTGCTCGATCTTCGCCGCAGGCTGAGCTGCCTCGCCGTTTTGTTGAAGCTCCACCATGATTACTCGACCGCAGAGTACACAGAGTTTAAAGATGCTACGCGTCTTGCTGATGAGGCTTTCTTTGATGAAAAAGAGGAGACAGAAACATTCGCATACCTTATCAACCAATTAATGGATTAAATACTGGCTAACTTTTCCGCGGAACCTGGTGCGGTCCGACGACTTCTGTCAATGCTGTGTATTCTTCGTGGACTTTAGATAAGATGAACCCCGCTCGGGTATGCGACATCGGGATGCCGAATCATGTTCGGGAAATTTGGGCCAGCCAAAATCTCGGGAAAGATGCACTAGCCAAGGGCCCATACCCGAGAATGGGGAGACTTCTTCCAAGTATAGCTTGAATTTGTTCTCAAACCTCAGTATACGGTCGATACAAATGTCTGAACTGTCAGGTTCCTTTCCCGAAAGCGAAGTAGTCCGTAAGCCGACAGACTGCTTGGCAGCATGAGTTGGGTGTCAGGTTTTGTGGTGTTCATTGTGTTAGACAGGAGGCCCATGAGCCAATGGTTTTACACGATTTCTCCCCGGACCCATGTGTCAAACACTAGTCTTGGCACTCACGTTCCTTGTTGTACATCAGAGAGGGTCGAATTCATCCTTGTGTTCAAGAGAAGAGAAGAGAAGGGGAACAAGAGGGAAAATTTTCTAGTTGTGCAAGTGTGGAACTGGGTGGACTGTTGATGTCGCCTCTAACACTGCTATTGAATGTAAATCTATGCAATTCTATCCTGCTTTTCTTTTGGCCCAAACTATGATGTTAAACTCCCTTTCGCAGAATCACCAGATCATGCACGCTCAACGCTACAGACTTATGATAATGCATCGACCGGTAGGCGTCACAGACGCGGCCTCACCAAGCCACAAAGTGTGACGACTAATGCAACGCAGAGACCTTGCGGCCTCATGCCTTCTCGTTGTTCGACGTCTTCTCCCTCATCCTCGCCGCCCTCCAAGTCTGTCCCCAGTACCAGTGTATCACCGCCAACGGCCCAACAGCAACCGTGATGAGAGCCAGACCCAAGAAAGCGGCGCCGGGCCCCGTGGTAGCAACGAAGTTGTCTACCAGTGCAACGCCGATAGCACCCAAGCCGCACCTGACCAAGTTGTTTATCGCGGTGGCACTGGCTCCCTTTCCGGGACACAGGTCGGTGACGAGGGTCTGGTTGAGGGCAAAGACGGCGTTGCTGGTCGCGGCGATGAAGAACTGGAGGACGAGTGGGACTGCGATCCAGCCTGATCGGGAAGTGATGGAGGGGAAGTTGAGGGAGAGGCCGTAGCCGCCCGTAGAGGCGACGAAGATGAGGACGATCCAGGGGAGACGACGGAGACGAGCGCGCTCTATGGGAAACTCGGCGGGCATGTTCTTCCCTGAGAGCTTTTCTGTTCCTGCTATGTTATGAGATGTCTTGTATTCTTCTTCCATCTCGAGATAGTCTTTTGTCATTAGCTTGCCCACGATTGCGGACCCAACAATGGTTCCAAGTCCTGTCCTGCATGTAAGCGAGTCTCCTTTCTGGAAGAAGCGGAAGGAGGTGAAGGTGGGAAAGTTGCTTACCATTAGGTAGAAACGCGAGACCGGTTTGCAAGTCACTAAGTCCAAACAACTCCTTGAACAGGATGGTGGTACTTGACGTGACCATAGTCCATATGGTATAGACCACGCCACCAAACACCAAGTTGATCAAAATGTCCTTCTGAATCAACAAGCGTAAGGGTTCCACAAAGGTCATCAGTGTCACCTTCTTCCGCGGAATGGGTTCATCCGGGTCTTCGAGGTACTCTGGCTCCTTGCCAAGGTACCATATGATCGGCTTGTAAATGCCCCCCAAACGAAGCGAGCCGTTCCCGGCAATGCTCCGCATGGTTTCAGGCAGCCAAAACACAATCACCAAGGTGACTATAGAAGAAAGAATCAGGAGAAAGACGAAGATGGACCGGAACCCGAGGAAGTTGGCGAGCAGGCCGCCGAGCACAGGCCCGACTGCTATGCTGAAGTTTCGGACTACGAGGTGTTAGCTCCGAGCTCACCAGGAGATAAAACCGAGCCACCGAGCAAAACACCGTAATGCTAGTGAAACAGCGATAGGGCCCATAGTGACTTACTCGCCTGGTAGAAACTAATAAATGCTCCCCGTTCAGCCGGGGGAGAAATATCCTGGATCACGCCGTTTCCTGTTGCACAGGTCAGTTAAAGGAATTACGACGACTTTTTCTTGGCTAAATTTAGAGGTCCAAGGGAGAAGAAAAGGGTTGTATTTTCCCGTATGTAACTTACCAATGCTCACGGTTGAGGCACTTCCGGCGGCTTGCAAGCCCCTGAACAGCAGAAGAACTGTGAAATTGGGAGAGAAGCTGAGTCCGATGTTGGCAATGATGTACACGGCGAACGAGGCAATGTAGATTGGCCTTCTGCCCAGAGCATCCGAGATCGAGCCCCAAATTAGCGGGGAGATGCCTTGGATGATCAAGTACGATGTGATGGTCAGAGAAACCATCTGCGAGCTGACATTGAGATCCTGTGAGATTTTGTGAATTAGAGAGTTTCCGAGGATTCCGGGAGAACGAACAGGACTTACCCGTGCGATCGTATCGAGAGCTGGGTAATGGATGTTGGAAGAAAGACCAGAAAATAATCCGGCGGCTCCGATGATGACGATGACAACCCATTTCTGCTTCTTCGTGAAGACGTGGTAAGGTGGTTCTGGTTCCAGCTCCTGGACGGCTGTTCCCTCATCGCCACTGCTGTTATCGTCGAAAGGGTTCTGAGCTTCACGCGGAGCAGAATGTCCTTCTATTGAGTTTTGGTCCGCAAACGGGTCGCGGAACTCAGTGCCGTGGGGATCATTCTCGCTCTCCGTGATAGAAGGCAATGAGTTCGGCCGGCCGAAGAAGATGGACGAGTTGCTGCTGCGCGAGCTGGCAACGCTGAGACTCCTGCTGAGAGATCTCGAGCGCTCTCTGACGGATGTCCTCGTTGGCGAAATGTACTCGTCGTGGTCTCGGTCTTGAGAGAGTTCAGTGTCGCTTGTGAGAAGATGCAAGCCGCCCATAGCTGTGGCGGAGATCCTTTTGGCTATGCTGGGTCTAGCGGCTCGAGACTCCAAGGTCTCACTGCTAGGGCGTTCCATGACGGTGAGGAGTTTGGCGATGTTGCTTGAACGCCTTCGACTGAGATGTCAAGATGAAGGACTTGTCGTTCTCTTCTTGGTCTGAAGAACGTTACGACGATTTCCAAGAGGAACCACTGTTGGTGATATTTGACAGATACTCTCTCTCTCTCCACGGGAGACCCGATTATCCACAAACGGAGCACAGTTCACTCTCAGAGTAACACTATCTGAGGCCAAGACAATTTGCGGAGTTCATTTTCAGACTAACACCGGCTCTTGCAGCAGAATTCCTCGACTTCAGGAAGATGGGGCCGTGGCCGCCCCGGGGTTCAACGGCAACCAGTTGCCGACGTCACGTCAAGACACATCATCCCTCACAGCCCGCAGATACTGCCAAAAATAAGTTTAGTGAACTGGCACAAGGTTTATTGAGCCTCGAGAGTTATTGATCGACCAAGGGTGATTTGCGGCTAGGCCACGTCCCGGGGCGAAGGGGCCGCAAAAGATTAGAGCTGACTCTGGACCCAATGCCCTCTGAACCAATTGGATTATACGCAAACCCGCGCTCGCTACGGGCTGTTACTGGTCCGCTGTCCAGTAAGCGTGAAACTTGTTCCAGGATGTAGCGCCGAGCCTAAAACGCCTGCCGGGCTGATAGGTTTTGCGGCGGCAGGTTGTGAAGTATACACGTCCGCACCCGCGCAGGGAAGTCTCAGACGAAGATGGAAAGAGGTGGAGAAAATGGAGAGAAAGCAAAGACAATCAATGCCAAGAATAGACAATCCCTGCGACAGCTTGGGCACGATATGTCAATGACAACGACAACAGGCCGATATCTACGACAGGCGACCCCCTCCGGATCCCACTCTCCCACATATGCCTCCAAGATCTGCCACAGTCCCCTCACGACGCTCAAGCCCTCCCTTGACCGGTCCACCACGTGCATTCAGCTAAGCAACTGATAGACCGGCTACTTTACCGTTGCCAAGTCCTTTCAAGAGAAGTCCAGTCGTCTCGTCTCAGAAACATGGCACATCAGCCTCAGAATCTTGGATAGGTATCCCTCGGGGTCCACCGAACCCATCGCTCTGGGATTGACAGTTCATCCGTGTAAGTCAAACGCCTCTCCCGCTCTGTGCTAAAATGACTGAACACCCAAAAGCTGACATCCTCTTCACAGCGAACAACCACACGGACTTACAGCTAATCGGTACAAGATGGCTGGCCTTTCGATGAACCGTAGAAGAGGTCCTCCTCCCAAACTTCGCCTCGATATCCCTCAAGACCAAGACCAAGTCCAAGATCAATACCAAGATCAAAAACAACATCAAGAAAGAGCCGTGAAGTCTCCAGGACCTCTGACTCCGAATAGACCTCTCATAGGCTCTGACATTCCTATACTTCCAGCCCCTGAGAGGACCACCACAGCATCTACTCATGTTCCTTTGCCATCCAACGGCCCAGCAGATACGCTCCCTCAGATTCCAACGACCACCCAGCCTGCGGTATTACCCTCATCAAGCCCACCACCAAGGATTATTACTCCTCCGTCAACACCAATCTCCAGCGCACCTCCAAAGTCACCAACTCTTCGCCCAAGCGTGTCGATATCAAAAACTACAGTGTTCATCACAACAACGAGACCTCAATCCTCAGTCCTCCCAAGCCCTACAAACACAGTATTTGTCACCGCTGCGCCCCAGACAATCACAGTAACTGCACCATCTGTCCCCCTCCCATCGAATGACCTCAACGGTGATAGTGGAAGCAAGCCACAGCCCCAACCTCAACCGTCGGCCATCGGTTCAACGCAAGGCGTTTCTTTCACCAGTGGATCTGGTGTCGCCGTTCTTGGGGTGCTCGGGGGCATCGGTAAGAGAGACGGAACCCCAAAATTCTGCCATAGGCTGATCAATTTCAAAACAGCGGCAGCATCTATTCTAGCAATGGCTGGACTGATATTCTGGCGCAAGCGGAAGAATCGCAACAGCATGGGCTCGGGAGGGGTATGAAGGCTTCCCCTCATTGAGTGGTATCTTTCCTGCTAACCTAATTTCGTGATAGATATTGACTGGAAAGTCGCAATAGAGAAGACGGATCACAACAGGCAAACCAGTGGGGCATAAAATGAAGTATTTTCACACGGCCGGGCTGCCCTCAATTTTGCTTGTGTCACTTTGGGAAGTTTGGGATCATAGACAACGCGGCCTCTAGCAAACTACAGCTTCTGCCTCCCCAAAGACTATCGTTCAGGAACGAGGGGTTAGATTTTGGCAGTAAATTCCTAGTGTTACAGGGTAATCAAAATTTGAAAAGTTTTTTGATAATTACAGTACATCGTCTATTCTCAACCCTTCCTCAGCCGGCAACTGAGTGATTGTCCCCACCACGATTAGTAGACCCTTGTCAAGCTTCGGCCGCCTTAAGATTCCCGCAAACTCGAACAAAAAACATGACGAGTATTTGATTAAGGGTATGAGGATCAATCTTTACGCAATGCTCACAGATGAACGGTTATGAGCGGATCACTACATGCAGCAGCGCCTAATTTCTTTGTCAAGTATACAACATCGCGGCCCACCGGAAGTGCAACAGCTTCTTACGTAGTGGTGTCCTCAACAGGGCATCAAGTCTCTTCTAGGTTGTAGGCTTTAGACAGGGAATACCAAATACGATTGCTCGAGGCGCCACGATTACACGTGTCAGCGGTTTGGTGCTGTTTACTGCGTAGTATCTGTATTCCGTGCATAGATCCATGTCGTCAAGGGATACGGCAGCATTGCAGCAAGAGTTGCATCTACATTGGTTGTGGAGACTGAGTGAAGCTTGTCTCCTGAGCTTTCGTATCCTAGAGTGCTCGAAGAGTCAGAGGCACGTGGGGGCACAATTCGAACATGTTCACTTTGGTTTTGTGGTACCCCTATTCTAGCCGATCTGCAGTTCCGCTTTATTAGACTTAGAGGCACCCTATCAGTGAAACGATTAAACAAAACCTTGTTTCATCTACCCGTATTGGTGATCCACATGTTCAACGTCGCATCTTGCGGCTGTGTTATGTGAACCATCTCTGACACCTACACTAAAAGCCCCGTCTGAGTTGTCAGCAGAGCGGCGGGCCTATCGGGTTCAACTTCAATAAACTCGTTGCACTAGACTCTCGTGGGGCTCAATGCCACATAGCATTGATAGTCGTCGTTACCTTCTAATCATGAGCTCTACAGGGCAGAGCCAGGATGATGTTCTACTTCTCGGAGTTCGGGAAGTAAGGCCGTGAGGCTCGGTCACCGATCGAGGAATGGGGGGCCGCCTTGCATCAAATACCTGGTATAGATGCCGATTGTAATGGAACAGTGAGTGGGGGTATATCGTAACTGTGATGCAGAGTGTGATAGTTCATCAACGCACCGCACCTTTGAAAGTATTTTGCAAGAGGGGTTCAGCGACAGGCTCACTCAAGTTATGCTGTCTTAGCTGGACTACGTCAACCCGATGTGGCTTCGGGAACTATTCCCGGGGAACATGCAGTCCAGGAAGGTGTGATTTGAGATACGGCTAGGAGCCTGCCAGATTAAGTAAGACAACGAATGCAACTCATGCAAGGTGCGGTCATCACCTGCAGCAGTCCAGTAACGACTTTTCAGTCAAACTTTTCAAGCCACATAGATTCGAACGTGAACACTATCTTCTACTTTCTCTACAACTCTCAAGAGGCTTTTCAGAAGACGGCGAGATTGTACTGCTGAGCTCACCAGTAACAGAATCTGTCAAGATGTTTGGTGTTTCCACGTGCCGTATGTTAGAACTGTTCTTTGCTCCATGACTCTCGGACTGGATCTTGCAAGCTAACAGATCGAAACTTCAACGTCTAGGTAAGCCGATGAAATCGATAAAAGCTCCCAGAAGATTCATACTCACTATAGAATGACAGGAAATATACATTCCAAGGTGTAAACAAATCGGTCGATCTGCCTGGGCGTCGTGGTAGGCGTATTCAATAGCGACGGGTGGAAAGTGTAGGTGATGGACCTCGACACCCCGATCAACGCCAGAGAAGACACTCGTATCTCCGTGCTGCGCATCAAGTGACCCCACAAGCTGATGTTCAGCGCAGCCCGCAACGACCTCTTCTTCGTCGACGCGAATTTCCGCAGCAAGTAGAAGGCGCTCAGACATTCCAGAAGCGCCAGGAGCACAAAGTATCCAACGTGTGCAAAGTCGACGACCTTCGAGGCGGTGTTGTTGGTTTCGTCGTAGATGCCCATGACTCGAGCTATCAAAATCGTACCGCGAAGAACGGTGATGCCAGCAAACAGAATCCAGAAGGCCGTCAGGTAGATCGTCCGACTGCGACCCGTCAACATGTGAGTCAACATGGCGTACGAGTAGAATGATATGCCGGCTTCTTGGATCTGAACTAGGTGTCAATCATGGAACTCGCGACCAGGGAATCCAGAGGATGTCGTACCAGCCAGAACGTATCGGCAAACCCAGACGCGAGCGCCCTATCCAATGGTGAACTATTCGTGTAAAATATTTGAAAACATAGCCCATTCGCGATGGCACAGGCCATGCTAGTGATGATCGGGACCAGCGCGATGCTTGAGAATTTCGTGATGCTGATGACGATGAGGCCCAGGAAGACGTTTGAGATGCCGATGGTGCTCAGAATAGCCCAGCATTGCTCAAAGTAGAGTTCAGCCGCCATCTTGATTCATCGCACTTGCCGAATGCTACTATGAACGATGGAACAGCCAGGTGCAAAGGCTGCGTAGTCGTTGGGTACCCGTTCCTAGTGTATGAAGCGTGAAAAGAAGATCAGATCGGGCCGGAGAGTGTGGACCCAGACCCTGATATTGGGTTGACTATATTTCCCGGCTAGAGGCAAGAGTGACATACAAGTAGGCATTGGTTCGGGCTCCTACTTCGCATTCAAGGTCACACAATCGGATCATATCGACGTTAGCTTGAAGGATCACGGCACGTTTCGCTCGACTGACCGGCAAAGACAGGGTTTCTTCCGCGGTAATGGATTTTTAGTCCCCAGCCCATCATACCAGTTGCTGGCCGCGTTGCCCAATCGCTGGCTCGCCCTTGCGTATTGTCTTGCGTGAAGTCGCACAAATCCATTCCGGGGCTCTGGGGGCCGATGTAGGCTAAGACGCGGAGTGTGGCATCTCAAGTCTTTAAGCGGCTGTTGGGGAAAGACGCCACAGAGCGATCGCAGCATTATTCCCCGATCGCCAGTATCGAGTGGCTTGCTCCCTTGCAGGGGCGGCACTGCTAGTTCGCCCAGCCCTACTAGTAGACTGTAGTAGCCCATACAAAGCGAATAGATAAAAGCCACCCGCTGACGCCAGTACCGTAATCAGAGGGCAGTTGATGAGGCGGTTCGTCTTGGGAGATTTGAGCTGAGAAGATCTACAGCTTACAACAAAAAATCAGGCACTTAAGTAATGAAGCCTTCAAAAACAGGCTTTGCAATGTGAGAAGGAGTCATGGGAGTCAAGGTTCTCGCTCTTCAGCGGATTCTGAGCGCCCCGCCCTTTTCGGACCCCGGTCTCTTGCCAGGGGAAGCCTATGCCACCCACTCAGCCCCAGAAGTTAAAATCAAAGCCGTTACATTTTACCAGGCAATCAAAGCCTCGGAATTGATGATTCCATCCTGTCGGTGACTGCGCTAAGTGGTGGTCTAGACCTGTATATTCAGCCCTCGTTTCCAGGTCTACCTACTTGGCCGGAGAGACCGGTTTTTTCGCTGTAACACAAGCTGCAAGCGGCCGTCAATGAATCGAGCATCAGTCTGACAATTACTTCACTTTGGGCCAGCCGCCACAACAAGGAGGTTTCCGGGTCTGCTTGGCTAGGGCTCATATCAAGAGAGGTCAATTCCAGGGGTGTTTTTCATTTTTAGAATCACGTTTTCCTTGGAAGATCTTCAAGCCTACTCTCAAAATTAGAGAGCCCATAAGCCACTGGTGACAATGACTGAGTTACAGGTGCCCAGGCGTGGCTACTTTCCAAGTCTCTGCGCCAAGACTGAAGTTTGCCATCAGGGATAATTTGGGAGTATGAAATTTCAGATTTCAATGGAGTAACAACGATTCAGTATTGTCGGCGGCTACATGAATACCACCGAGCATACAAGTAAGGGTCCAATAAGGGGCGAGCAGTGACATGCGCACCCAAGCGCGGGAAGCCAGTCAGCCATATTACCAGAAATGAAGGGAGGGTTTATTATGTTTGGCTGAACTGGACGTAGTTTGGAGGAAATTGAGGTCTTCATGCGGGTTCTATTACAATACGCATCCGAAGATAAGTTGGGCTCGCAAATGAGACTCAGGGCATCCCATCGACTACGGGATAGCATCACTGCAAAGACATTCGCGCACTTTTATGGTGAGATTAAAGCAATAAGACGCTTGCTACAGGCTGTTCCCATTGTATTATCGAGCTTGAAAAGATTTAACATGGAGGGAAGTCAGGAAGATAAAGAGATCTTTCAGGAATCAGGATGCTGTCACCGTTCCACAGTTGGTGCATGTCGGATATCAGTATGCCCATGCCATCTTGTGGTCCTGGTGTTCATTCAGATTCATTGTTGTTGCTTCAAAATAGTTTACGGCGCCTGAGGTGTTTGAGAGCTGCACTTACATTGAGCAAGTTTCTGACACATCATTACTACAGGACTAGAAGAATATCATGGCTGCTTCTTGCCCTAAGTATGTTCAAATCACGAACGAGGCCTCAGTTTCTCACTTTCTTACTATTATAGACTCACTTTGTGGTCTTAAAATGCCTGTTTTTTAAACCAAAGTACTTAGTCAATTGAGTATTTGGTATATTCTAAAGTGTTCGATATTGTAAGCGATCATCACTTGCAGTTCGAAGAATGTTCCATGGTTTGCCGATATCAATATCTCAGAAGCTGCATGATAAATTAGTCAAAGACTTTGGTAACACAAATTTCGGTTGGTGTAGCCGGAAAGATGGATGATATCTTCACGTCGCAAGCCGGCATATGGTCCACCCCCACTCTTGCCATCAAACTCCCACTTACGACCGAGATAAGCTCCTCCACTTACAATTTGGATACGATGTATAAGTAATATAAGTATCATTTAAAGGGCTTGAGACAAATTAAATCGGCGAGGCATATTAACTATCCAAACATTACGTTAACCACTTGCAATTAGTCGCAATTAGTAGGTGGTCAAAGGAACTATGTTACCACTTCAAGCCGTTGCTAACTCCCCACAAAGTGTCTTCCCCCGAAGCTGAAGCCATCACTTCAGTTCTCCACGCGTACGGAACTGCTCTTAAGAGCCGCAACGACGAGGATGTGGTCAGTCTCTACACGTCCGACGGCGTCATCATGCCGCCTCACTTCACAGCCGCCGTGGGCACCGCCTCACTTCGCGAATCCTACACGCGCATCTTCTCATCGGTTCAGCTCGTCATCACGTTTTCAATAGAAGAGATTATCGTCATGTCCCCGGACTGGGCATTCGCAAGGACAACAGCCGAGGGAACGAAGACGATGTTGGCGACACAGGCTTCGGAGGAGCACGCGAATCAAGAGCTTTTCATCATGAAGAAGGAAGATGGGGAGTGGAAGATTGCGAGATATGCTTTTTCGACGATGAAGCCTCTCGTTCAAGATGGTGTACGGAGAAGCTGAGGGAGACTACGCATACTTGCAACAGACAAATCCCAAGGTCTTTAGTTTGAGTTCCGGAAACAGACATAGCTATGTAAAGCAAAATAGTACTATGGCTGGGATACTGTAGACATTGCCTTGGATCTTTCTTTCTACTACAGCAAGAAATAGGACTGCACTGGCGAAACGCACTTATTGCGGTGTCTTGCATTGTGAGCCTCAATTTTGTTATTCGAATGATGGCTTGTGTGGGCTTACACCAGTTGTAATTCTCCAGCAGAATTCAGTGAGGTTGTCTTTCCAACCCTTCCCTGAGGATGAGGAGGCTCATATGTCGGCAGACGCCAGGTCCGCTTGAGTCGATGAACTGTCTGATGCGATCGCCAATATGATATATCTTGACAGTCTTGGATTTAGAGGCTCGCTAGACTTGAGCTGCCGGTGGTTAGATGATTGGGTTTATCCACTTTTTCGCTGCACAAGCAGGTTGGAGATAGTAGGTTCGTTCTGTGAGTTCGATATACGCAATTCCACGTCGTCGATTCTAGTTTGCCATGCATTTCTCTCGATTATATGCCACGCTAAGATCCTGTAAGAAGTCGGTGATAATCGTTTTCTTCTCTAAATTTCTGAGGCGAGTTTGGCGTGGGATGATCCTGCCACTGGCCACGTTGCGTCCACGCCATCCTCCTATTCAACCCGGTAGCTGCACAATTCATTTCAAGGGTGGCGCACTATTCAAATTTGTTCTTCAGGAAGCCTACGAGATCAATAATCGTACCAATTACTCCGAATATCAGAGTTGAGATGTTGGGCTCAGCCAGATTGTGGTAGGAACAGCGGCCTCAGGCTCTAGAGTAGTATGAGCCTCTAATCAGGGACCGATTCCCATGTCCATGCCTTTCTTAGGCTTCTTCAGGCATATCATTCGCCGACTGATCGGAAACCAAGGAATGAGAATAAGAAGAAAGGCAGCGTTGACGATGACGAAAGGATTAGCAACGGAAATTGAGACATATCAAGCTGCATTTAGTTTCCACGTCGTCCTACTCGCCTGTATCTATCTCTAGGTAAGTAAGCTCTGATGAGAACCGCATAGTTTCCATGTCCGCCGGCGCTGCACTCGACGCAATCAACTCAACTTTGGACCCTCAGTCGAAATGATCAAGAGAGATGTTGAGATAGTTGTTCATTTGAGTTGCCTAGTTAGTTGGCTGATTGATGAGTTAGTCGGTTGAGTTGAGTAGCTCAAGGTAAAGCGCTCAAGTTCACAGTCACTCTGTGTCTAGAGCACATTGCCAGAGCTTACTACAACTCTCTCTCTCTCTCTATCAACATCGAACTTCGAGTTCCTTAGGTTTGAGATCACGGATTGCATTACCGCCCCTGAGCCCTCTGCCACAGGAAGAAAAAGCTTGGTTTGACTGAAGTCCAGGTAGGTTTCGGCTCTAATCTCACCTTCCGATACTAGCTTCATCCGAGCTGGGAGCCATCGGCTCCGAATGATCTAGTTTGTCACCAGGCTTCAAGTCTGCAGGTGGCGTTGACACATGCAAGCCCTCAACGATGAAGAACTTGCCTCTTTGACTCACATGCATGCTGAAGAATTATTAATACAACGGCGCCGACATCGCTCACATCCGCAGGGGTCCATTGTGCCAAGTGCCGTCGTAAATCTGGAAACCTATCGTGAATTGCAATTGAGAACCCTTGGCGATTTTCACTATCAGCTTGGGGAGTTAGTCACATGCTGTGGAGCGAGGGGATTCCAGAACCGCTCTTTTATTTCAAATCAAGTCGATGAGATCAACCATTGACGAAAACCGGGGCCGACACGTGTGAGATGGGGCCCGCTCACCGGCGGTGGGAATGGAGATACTGGAGACAGAAACGGGTCTGGCAGACGGGCCGGGGATGGGTACTTGGGAAGAGAGTGGATGGGCGACGAGAAACTGGGTCGGTGATGTTTCGCTCGAATCCCGGAATTGCCAAGAGTGTGGGGGAAAGGTTGAAGCTCCGGCGCAGTATTGGCTGAAGATGGCCTTAATGGCAATGAGAGTTTGAGGTCACAGGTCACCCGGATTCAATGCAGCGAATACTAGAATGGACGGTTTTTTTCTGATCGGCGAGCATAGGCCTGACCCTAGACCATGGAGGTTGTGGGTGTGTTGCTGGGATATCGTTACCCTGAACACAAAGCCTTGGCCTTGTGCTCCGTCTGCTCTGTACACCATTTGTGATTATAAAGAAGGTCCGAAAACCGGCGATTTTAACCATGATCGTCACTCCAACAACCCGACGCGGTTTCCTTTGAGGTGCTGTCCGGCGGCTTGGTCTACTTCCTCTTCCACTTAGCGTTGATATCCACAGTGCGTGTGAGTGCCCAGCCGATGGTCTCGACTTTTCCGCGACTTTTCGCGGTGGGAGGCAGCAGTCACAAAGTGGGGTGGGTGTGACGTCGTGGACTTTATAAGAAGCTACCCCCTTGGCCGTTTTGCCTGCAGTTGGGTAAATATAGCTGTGCTAGGTAGGTACCGAGGTTCATACTCTGTACGGAGTACCTTATGTAAGGTAAGGTAAAGTGAGGTGATTCAATAAGGTAGGCGCGTACATGCACGTACCGCGTAGCATCCGTGGAGGGGAACGGGAAGGAAGGAGCTTCGGAAGAGCAGCAAAAACAGCTGAGGAAAAGGCGATTTGCGGGGCTGTCTCGGCCAACCAGGAGTCGTTCAATTCAATTCTCCTCACGGAAGGCGTCAAGGACAACTGCGGTCTGCGCGAAAGAGCAGACAACAGACGCAATGGAAGTCCCTTCCTGAACCACACAGCCCCGCTTGGTCGCGTAAATGGGGGATAAATGGAGCAAAACGGGGTAAAGCGATGGAGCACAGCCGGGTCGGAGCGAACGGAACACAACAGCGAACGTTCAATTCCGCTGGGTTCCGATGTCACTGTCTAACGCACCTTACCTCAATGTTCCATGAGGTTGTGGTAAGGTATTGTATGGGGGAGTACCCCGTACCACACACTTCACATGGCGGCATGGCTACCCGCTGCTTATCACCTCTGTTTCAATTGGACGCAAGGGTCCTCACCTCATGCTCCCACGCTCCATACTGCGTAGACCTTGACCTTGACCTGCAGCTACAGACAGTCCAAACTCTGCCACATCCCATCTCTGCTTTCTTACATGCTCTTTTGTAGTACTGAACACCTACTGCCTCTTCCCCGGCTCGGAGAGCAAGCGGCACCTGTCGAATGGGTCGATGGGTCCTCCCCGCACGGCATTTTGAATCGGCCCAAGCTACTGTTCCATGCTGGTCACGCAAGCTCACGGTATTGTTGCATCTTTTACAAACTGTGAAGCTAACGCACCAATGAGGCAATCTCTCCGACCTTTGCTAGGGGCCGCCGACAAACATTTGAATGTCCGCGTCATAGCTACATGAGCCTGCTCTACCCGTTCCCTAACACCGCGATAACTTCCCTCGACCCCTCGCTGCATCCAGCTGGACCGCGCCCCCTCGAGCACATCTCGAATCTCCGAGCCGGTATCGCGATGCAAAGCCTACATCTCTTCGTGACCAAACTGGTGGGGGCAATGAGACAACGAGACAACGACTAGCCGTTCGTCGGGCGTTCTCGAACAATCAAGGACCCAAAGACCCTTGAGAAAACATGGCCGTCGCCTCCCATCATTTGTCATTCCGCCCCGAGCTACCCTGAACGCCTTCCGCCCAAATCTCGAGAACCCCCACCCACACCAACATGACTACGGCATGGTTCCTGCTGTCACACGTTAGTGCAGCAATAATAGGAAAGAGATGAAAGTGCACAGTGGTTGTTACTATGTACTCGGCCCTCGACCACCCACCCCTCAACCGCCAACAAGAACCGGCCCATTGGTCATGCAATGAGTGAGGGGGAGGGGGGCCATGGCATAAAACGCGGGGTCGCCTCCTTCCACTTGCCGAGCATATCTGGGAGTGAACCCTTTTTCTTTTTTGCCTTCTCTCCTTCTTCTACACAATCCGACAATTGATAGTTCAAGAGAAACATCAATCTCCCTTCTACCAGGCAATACATCGAAACACATACCAAAGAAACAATCTGTATAATCAGACACCATGGCCGAGGAAAAGTGTCCCTTCATTCGGACCATGAACACCGGAGGTGGCGGCACCAAGAACCGCGACTGGTGGCCCGACTCCCTCAAGCTCAACATCCTCCGCCAGCACACTCCCGTCACCAACCCGTTAGGTGGTGACTTTGACTACGTCTCTGCCTTCAAGACCCTTGACTACGATGGCGTCAAGAAGGACCTGACGGCTCTGATGACCGACTCTCAGGATTGGTGGCCCGCCGACTTTGGCCATTATGGAGGTCTCTTCATCCGTATGGCATGGCACAGCGCTGGTACCTACCGCGTCCACGACGGTCGCGGCGGTGGTGGTGAGGTAAGTTCCTCGGGAAACTCAATGGATTGGTCTGTTAAACGAGATACTAATGACTGCTCCTCACAGGGTCAGCAACGTTTCGCCCCTCTCAACAGTTGGCCCGACAATGTCAGTCTCGACAAGGCCCGCCGCTTGTTGTGGCCCATCAAGCAAAAGTACGGCAACAAGATCTCCTGGGCTGATCTCATGATCTTGGCCGGCAATGTCGCCCTCGAGTCAATGGGCTTCCAGACCGCTGGCTTCTCTGGCGGACGTCCCGACACCTGGGAGGCTGATGAGTCCGTTTACTGGGGTGGCGAAACTACATGGCTCGGCAACGATGTCCGTTACTCCCACGGTCACGAAGGCAAGTCCGGCCAGGGCGTCCTCGATGGCTCTCAGGACACCAAGAGCAAGTCAGACATTCACACCCGCGACCTGGAGTCACCACTTGGTGCCGCCCACATGGGTCTCATTTACGTGAACCCTGAGGGTCCCGACGGCAACCCCGACCCGGTTGCCGCTGCCAGAGACATTCGCGTGACCTTTGGACGCATGGCCATGAACGACGAGGAGACGGTTGCTCTCATTGCTGGTGGTCACACTTTCGGCAAGACCCACGGTGCTGCTCCTGACAGCAACGTCGGTGCCGAGCCAGAGGCCGCCGGTCTCGAGGCTCAGGGCTTTGGCTGGGCCAACAAGCACGGTTCTGGCAAGGGTGCCGACACCATCACCAGTGGTCTGGAGGTCACCTGGACTGCCACTCCCACCAAATGGAGCAACAAGTACTTCGAGTACCTGTTCAAGTTCGACTGGGAGCTTACCAAGAGTCCCGCTGGTGCCAACCAGTGGGTGGCAAAGAACGCTGAGCCCATCATTCCCCATGCCTTCGACTCCAGCAAGAAGCAGCTTCCCACTATGTTGACAACCGATTTGTCGCTGCGCTTTGATCCCGAGTACGAGAAGATCTCGAGACGCTTCCTCGAGAACCCGGACCAGTTCGCCGATGCATTTGCCAAGGCCTGGTTCAAGCTCACTCACCGCGACATGGGCCCGCGCTCTCGCTACGTCGGACCTGAGGTTCCCTCTGAGGACTTCATCTGGCAGGACCCCATCCCCACTCCCAGCTCGCCCCTCGTCAGTGAGCAGGACGTTGCTGCGCTCAAGAAGGAGGTTCTCGCCACTGGCATTGATGCCTCCAAGCTCATCTCTACTGCCTGGGCTTCAGCCTCTACCTTCCGTGGAAGCGACAAGCGTGGTGGTGCCAATGGCGCCCGTATCCGCTTGGCACCTCAGAAAGACTGGGAGGTCAACAACCCCAAGCAGCTCGCAGAGGTCCTCAAGGCCCTCGAGGGCGTGCAGCAGAAGTTCAACGGCTCGGGCAAGAAGGTCTCGCTGGCTGACCTCATCGTCCTCGCCGGTGCTGCTGGTGTCGAGCAGGCAGCCAAGAATGCGGGCTACGATATCAACGTGCCCTTCACCCCTGGTCGTGGCGATGCTACTCAGGAGCAGACCGACGTTGAGTCTGTTGACCACCTCCAGCCTCACGCCGATGGTTTCCGCAACTACGGCAAGTCAGGTAACCGCGCGAAGACCGAGCATTACCTTGTCGACAAGGCACACCTCCTTACGCTCACCGCGCCTGAGCTCACCGTTCTCATTGGTGGCCTGCGCGTGCTGAACACCAATTTTGATGGTTCATCAACTGGTGTCTTCACCAACCGCCCCGGCGCCTTGACCAACGACTTCTTCGTCAACCTGCTTGACATGGGTAACGAGTGGAAGGCTACCAATAACCAGGATGTCTACGAGGGCTTCGACCGCAAGTCAGGCTCTAAGAAGTACACTGCCAGCCGCGTCGACCTTGTCTTCGGCTCACACGCTGAGCTCCGCGCTGTTGCGGAGATCTACGCCCAGGCTGATGCTGGACAGAAGTTCGTCAAGGACTTCGTGACCGTTTGGGATAAGGTCATGAACCTGGACCGCTTCGATCTTAAGAAGCAGTCCGGTAGTGTGCCGAGCCGCCTTTAGATGGTTAGAATGAAATCACTGAAAAAGCAATGTCGATTACGAGGAAATGAGACCGTCTCTAGCCTTCGTGCTTTGAAATAGCCTAGTGTAGTCTAGTACCTGCAGATAGGAACATGTATTTACGTTTGACGACCACCAACGTCTTTCTTCATGCCCATACTCACAGTGATGACGCAAGTACGCGAGGTTGGAGTCTAGACCCCCGTCCTCCAGGCACAAACTCTCTCTCTCCCTGTGGCAATAGTCTCTCTATTCTCAAAGGGCTCTAAATGTCAGCAGAGGAGCTGAGTTATTAAGGAAGTATCTAGGTATCTTTCAGATACCGTGAAAATAGTTTACGAATTTTATTCCTGACCGTGGTATAGACGCATTTGCTGACTGTCCTTGTTTGTGACCAGCGATATGAGCTGTCCCCTGTGTGCCAGCCTAGTTTTGTACCACTAATAGGTCAACAGTCTGATCACAGCAATAAGCCTCACACCTAATCGCCCCCTCAACTCACTCCACCTTCTTGCATAATATCATTATTTTCTCATGTTCATCTGAAGACACTCATCTGAATTAAAATTTTCATGTTCTAGCAATCTAAACCTTTTTCTTTTTTGAAATTGGGTAAGTATTGATATTGTTAGGGTATGGGAGTTTGGTGGAAAATCCTTAGTCTTGTGACCAGACTCTTGGCCTGTGGTTGACTCTTCCCAAAATTGTGTCCTTTTGTCGCTTTTGTCGCTAATGCAATCAAATACTAGTGGACAGAACTGTCTGCGATGCTCTTGTGGAATCACACGAGGAGGTCCAAGACAAGCGTGTCTCATTGCTTCTGAGTCTGTCGTGGCAAGAGGTTTAGATTTGCAAGCTCAAGCGGCCGTTCATTGCACCTTTATCATTTTGATGGCTCAGTTAAAGTTCTCGAACTGCGCTTTCTCTACTGAACTTTCATGTGGCGCCTCAGCTGACCATCGTAGGCGTTTCTGTGTCCCTCCAGGTACCGCGAGTAGAAGCTATATATATGGATAGTGCCCGTGAATCTCTAATTTACTTTGGGCTTTTGCATAGGTAACCATCTATTCCTTGGAACCTCCCCTCTCAAAGAAGCAAAATAATCTTTACGAAAAGGCTTGGTGGTATAAAGCGTCTTTCATGGAGTTTGCTCTTTACGCTACGGCAAAATGGTGCATTGGCGTTGCTTTCCTCGTTGTCTTCCTCAGGGGCATTGCTACCACCAAGAAGCACTCTTGGTCTTACTCTAGGAAACCAGCCGCGCCACCTTCTGAGTCGGTAAGCTCCGAGTCGATAAGCTCGGATTTTGAATGGGAGTCGACATACTCAGAGTCAGAAGCGACATCCTCGGAGGCAGAGTCGACATGCACTGAGCCGAAACCTCATAATCGACAGCTTCTGAAACGACATCGACGCCACAAGCGTAATATCCCCATGCTCTTACACGAACGTCCTTACTGAGAGATCAACTCTGATAGAAACTATCGTGAAAGCCTAATCATTCGGCTACCTGATGAGCTGCTGGTATGCATATTGGAAGCTCTCAAGCCAGCCGATCTTTACATGGTACGCCAAGCATCATTCACCTTTTGGCGCATTTATCAGGGAAAGGAATTCGAAAAGTTCCAGCGTTCGGAAGACACTCCCTGGTCACGCGGGCTAGATTATTTCGAGAATAACCCCGCCACCGTCGTGCGAGCCAAACAGCACGCTTTTTGCTCCGGATGTGCGGCGAGGAGACCTTCGCCCACCTACCATCGAGAGGTTTACCAGTATACTAAACGGGGATAACTGTATTGCTCTCGCTGCGAGGTGCCCTACAGGCACTTCGTCTTCTCTGCCGAAGAGCGCGAGAAGCGCCGAGATGTTCGTCAGTGTATCGCGCACGACGGGTTCATACGGCTTTGTCCTCATCTGACGGTGCCGTTCTCTTGGGTATGGGATGAGATGCATTCGAAGCATAACGATGCAGATGAAGCTCGGGAAACCAGATCTAAGTACGGTGTTAATCTTGCGTCCAAGAGTTGCCGCGAGTGCGAAGGCATAAACTTCCAAGATACCACCACCCTGCGTCACAAAGGGGCTGCTGCTTCTCGGTGGATCCCTCAGCCTCCGGCAATATCACTTTATGAATGACCAGCAGTCGGTACATTTCATGGGCTATACAGCGTCGTGATCACATGGGAATTGCCGTTATTCAGGATAGTCAAAAACGAAACCATCACCATGGACTTCATTACGCGGAAACTGGAGGAATTTCAAACCAAATACGGCAATGTCTTTTGCTCTCACTTGGGCCGACACGGAATCACTTCTCAACTACTCAGGGCTCTCGACCTCCGTCACTGCGGCTGTTCAGGCGGAGGCAGCCGAATTGGGCGTCTCGTTGCCTGCGACGAGGCCCGATTGGGTACTCGAGACTGTAGAAGGGCGGGAGTTGGAGAGAGTGGTGCGGAGCTTCTGCCACATAGCGAACACAGAGTACGCTGCAGGTTATGCCCGAGTTGGTACAGATGGGAAAGAGTCGATCGTCAGATATTTTTGTCCCGCTATTCTGAAGATCACATCAGGGAGACTAATAAAAGTTTTTTCCGTTAGCTACGTTGCTGGATCCTGAGTCTTACAGTCCTGACTCGGATCATGGAGCGAAGCATCTCTTTTGGTGCAAAGACGCGAACTGTAGAAACGGTAAAGACTGGATTGCATACGCTAAAGCATTCTAATAATACACTGAATGTACCTCATTCTTTGATCCTCTATGAAGTGCTACGGGCTACTGATGTAACTTAGATTGACCCGGCGGCCCGGTACGTCGCTATTGTCCTTGATCTATCATGTTATCAGTCAGTAAGTATCACATAAACTAAGTGGAGGACGTATTCGAGACGGACACCACCACGATGGCTCCCCCCGTGGTGATGGCGAGAAGGGTGGTGAGAGAGTAAGCGGGTCTGATGGTGAACCGTTGTCGGCGAGGATGTATTCGTCTATGTAGTCTACTTCAGAAGTGATTGATAGACAGAAGAGAAACTAGAACCATGAGATGGAATGGTGATCCGATTTTAAAGTCTAGGTTTCTCTGGCTCTTCTCCGGATGCTTTCAAACGGACGATTTTCTGGACAAATTGATTGATAGAAGGAGCCGGAAAGAACCCAGTTCTTTCGGGAAAGTGCATGTACGTCGTAATTACCATTAATTGCCAGTATTGAACGCACGGAAGCTCTGCTATGTTCCTTCCCGGCGAGCACTTTCTCTTGTTTGCAATTATTTTTGTTCTTTCAAGGGCACTCTTTTCCATCTCATCGACAAATAAACCTCTCGCTGAGTATTCTCTGCAACAATCGCCTTGACATAGGTTTTTAGGCTTCGTCAAATCCTTTTGACATCCGGCATCAGTCAATTTTAAAGCTACGCACCTTATGGCATTATATTCAAGTACATTTAGTACGCAGCCCCTTTTCCAAGCCATTTAATTAGTCTTGAAATAAGTATCATAATGAGGTCTTTGAGCGACAGCTTCAAAGTTGCGAAGTCTTATAAAGTTATTTTTCCATATCTGTTTGTAGACATACAAAGCTCAGTCCGGTTCAAGGCAAGCCTTTTATCCTTTTTATATTTAGCGTAATCCATCCTTTGTATCATAAAGTTCGTTGAGACTACAATAAAGAATATTGCCCTCTCATGTTCCACCGATGGTCGTCATGTACCTAGGAACCTTGGGTCAGTGTCATTCGAAGTAGGATTTTGTTGTTCCTAACTAGTTGATACCTTTACAATTAAAGCCTGCTAGAGGATCGGAGGAATAACACAAGTTCCCTCGATGACGACTACTATAGCGTAGGTATAGGTAGATATGAAGTACGTGGGTGACTTGCTGGAGTGAGCTGAACTACAAATCCCCTCCCTTAAAAAAGAAAAGGAGCACAAATCGCCTCTTCCTAACTCCAAAATATGCCAAGAGAACTCAATATAATAATCGTCGATTGAAGACGTTTCATCGGCCAGGAGGCGCCTGTCTAGGTTGACGGGTCGATCAAATTGGGTGGGTGGCAGAATGGTTGATGCTCAAAAATCATCACCTCCACAGCCTCCACGAAGACAGATGCGCAAAGGCCCAAGGTGAAGTAAAGTTTCAGGATCTGGGTCTCTGTACAGCTATAGCTGAAATGATCCCTTCGTAGACGGACAGAATATTTAAACTAATCAGCTACGATGTCAGATATCGCCTTGCTAAGATCGGGCAACATCAGAGCTTAAATGAGCCACCGAGGCGAAGGACCGAAAGGACACAAGTGGATGGGATATAGGTTGAACTTGATACCCTGAGGTTGGTTTGGTCAATAGCCCGTTTCCTTTCAGTCCTTTCCCATTCCATGAGCGTTCGCTATCTAGTGGTTGGTTCCACGAAATCCTCCTCTTCCTGATTGAGGCTACTTTTGTAATACGGAACTAGCAATCCATACTGGCCTCTGTCCGTCATCCGAAAGTATCGGAGACCTATCAGACCAATTGTGCCAATGGTCGGTCATTACTGGTCGGCAAATAACTGATTGTTGTCGGTTAACTTCTCGGCGATGAACTCTTTGAAACCGACCGACAGGTCAATGCCCATGTCCATGAAAAGCTCAAGCACCCAATTAACCAGTATGAATGTTGTCTCTTCGATGGGGACGCCCTCCAGGACTCTGGCGATCTCCAGGCGTGCTGCGGTTCGCTCTGCCTCACTCAGCGGGCCTGGCTTGGAGTTGACCTTTCCCTTTCGGGTGCTCGCCAAGGGCTCCGTTTGGTTTGGCTGCTGCGGATCCTTCTCATCGGCGGTTCCTGCCATGATGGATGGGTTGTAAGGGTTCGGTTGCGCGTTGGAAATATCGTCGAGGTTTGTACTGAGCTCTTCGATGACCTCGCTGTTGCGGTCTTTAACCTGATCGTTAGTTTCGCTGAACAAGGGTAAGGATGGATTGGCAGGACTATACCGTTTGGATCAGGGCTCGTCGTCGGATGAAGATGGGTCTGGAGCGACGGATGAGGATGAGGATACCGTTCCCGATGTTGCTTGGATGTTGTGTGTTGAGGGAAAAGATTAAAAGGCTTCTATCTAAGGGTAATAGGGCCTCAATATATAGTCTCCTGGCTAGAGTCGGTAGGTAGAATACACAACGGCAGACAGAATACAAGACGGAAGGCAGAATACGTTGATGACGCCGTAAGTGGAATACGTGAGTGAATGTCAAGTCTACTGTTGTGTTTTGCTTCAGCCATTCTTTAGCACTGACCGAACATCTTGTTGCTCCATAGTCTTTACAGCTGCGAGAATGGCAATATCACATCCTATACCTAATGTAGATACACGGTTCTTAGTGCGAGTGGATATGACTGATTCTGATGCATGTAGTACATCGGTATCTCGCCCAAACGACATCTTGGTGCGCTATCATCAAATGAGGCTAATGATATATGTTCACTGAACATGATTGACGGGGTTTTTTGGTCTCAAAATCGAGACTACTGCTTGCGGAGCCAACGATCTCGTCGTCAGGTTCTTCTAGGGTTGATTGATCCAGCTAGAATGTGTTTCATTCGTCCCATTAGTTCGTCCATATCAATAAGATCGTCCTAGCTTACTTCCATTGTTAGTTGGAGGCATAGAACTGCCCTTAATGCGCTTTTCCACACCCATTCATATTGCCAGTAATTAGATGTGAGAATACCAGTGCGCTAGTATTCCTTATGAATGCACCTGCTTAAGATGAGGTAGATGCGAATAATTGGAATGACATTGACGTTCATGTAAAAGTGGGGAGCCTTCTTGAGGTAGCCGATGCTATGAGTTCACCTGAATTACACGGTCTCACTAACATAGGGACATATCAAATCAGCCAAACAGGCCCAATTAGAATCCCCTGATTACTCGATCAGCTTACCGGCTTGAGTCATAGACGACGCTGCTATGCCATCTAGACAAGAGTACATGTAAGCCTCGGGCATAATCCGTCCGCGACGATGCCAAGGCTCAATAAGAAACGATTGTACGTGAATGACACTTACCTTGCCGAAGATCCCGGCGACAGTCAGTCGCATATGGAAAAGGGACGATTGCTTTTCGGACATGACATAGCTTGCCCGGAGAAAGTCTCCTTGCCGGGCGGCTGCATACGTGGGAGGAACTTTGGTCCAACCCCATATGAAGATCATCATACAGTCAGCATAGAAGAATGACTTTACTGATCATGTGCACTATCCCAGACGCCAATGTCAGCATTCCATCTGCGGCTCAGATGACCTGGCAGCCAATGCATAGCCAGAATTCAGCGTATATCTAGACAGTCGTAAGCGTATCAAGCATCGTGTACTTGTAAAATATCTACCGGGAACACAGGCATGTTGTTCTTAATCTTTTATACATTCGCATTAATGGCCTCAGCAGTCGTCATCCCAGATCCCCTCGGCCCATATCCCGTCGCCTTGCGGGTGAAAGCCTTCGAAGATGCAACACGATGGGATCCTCACGCCCCTCAAGACCAGTCTGAGAAGCGTAGAGTTATGGTCTCCGTCCATGTTCCCCTGAAGAAGGAAGCCGCCTGTTCCATCGAAACCGTTCCCTACGTGCCGCCTACTACAGCATTCGCCCTTGGTCAAGGGGCCGCGACTCTGTTTGGGCTGCCGGACACCATCTTCTCCGGGATGGAGCTCGAGTTCTGCAACATCGATACGACTTGCGCCGGGCCCGAGAAAGGTGACAAGTACCCTCTCGTCCTCTTCTCACACGGACGAGCTAGCTCAAGGCTTGCGCATGGCGTGCTGGCACGGTCTCTTGCTAGTTACGGATACATCGTCGTCGCTCTGGACCATACATACGATGCCGCGATCGTCGAGTTCCCTGATGGAAGCATCAGATTTGCGGAGAATGCAACGAATAACGACACGACGTACGTTGAGAGCCTTCTTGAGGTGAGTCCACCCCTAGAGATACCAGCTATATTGAATCGAAGATACTAAGTATCGCGATCCCGCAGAGTCGTCAGAAAGATGTCTCTTTCATAATCGACCAGCTTCTGGACCCTTCAGTAGCTACGCCGCTACTCGCTGGGACACAGGCCTCCATCAACCCAGAGAAGATCTTCATTGCCGGTCACTCCTTCGGGGGCGCCACAGTAGCTTCTTCTCTCTACGCTGATGACCGAATCCTTGGCGGCCTCAATTTTGACGGCCAGATGGTCGGACCTGTCCAGACCGAGGGCACCGACAAGCCCCTGGTGCTGGTCGGCACGCCGACGACGTTTGACTACATTTCCGGCTGGAACGAGACCTGGACAAACTTTCGCGGCCCTTCTTTGATGTTGGTCGTCAATGGAACAACCCACATGTCTTTCTTTGACGCTCCGCAACTTCCGGCCGTCAAGGCTTTGCCCGCAAAGTACTCTGATCTCATCAAGCAGGTGTTGGGAACCATCGATGGCGATTTATTGGCCAAGATTGAAATTGAGCTCTTGCGGAGGACACTGGACTTTGTCTTGGAGAATAAGAGAGAGGCATTATGCAACATTGTGAGCGTCAGCCCCGATGTTGGCCAGCTGCGAGTCAAGAATCTGAAGTGCTCTTAAACGAGTGCAAGTACTGCCGGGAGAGAGACTCGCCACTCTGTGCTTTTACAAACCCTACTCAGTAGAACAAAACTTTTTCTCCTCAAATCGGTTATTGACTTTACTCATTCAAGCACACAGCACGTCGGACTTCGTTGTTTCGGTAAGTATGTTAGGTTGCGATCGTAAGTGGCTACATCTGAAGCTACCACTCTCCGTGGGAGTTATAATTTAAATGTAATCAATGGAATTGTTTTGGTCTACAGAAACGACTGACTTGGAACAAAAACCCTATGCCCCTATTTCGCCAAAAGAAGCTTTTTGACCACCCGATTGCTCATGCCGATCGACAAATAAGCAAGCCCTTGTTATCATAAATAGTCTTATTACTATCTTCCTATGTAGGCTTCCGGAGATATTTTGGGCAGAGAAAGTACCAAATGAAGCATCCGGTAAGAGTAGTAGGACTGGGTGTGATGGTCGTAGGAAGAGAGACTGAGAATGTAATGGCGTTTTTACACCTGGAACCCTTTCTCGAGGATTAAAACAGGAAGATCTTGAAAAGGTTAGAAAGAACTTAGAATTATCTCAAAGCTGTGCTTACTTAACATTCTTGAGTCTGTCGTTGCTAGTATTTCAAGATCCCGAAGAGCCTTACGATAGAGGCCTTTCTACTGCAGGTATCCCAAAACAACGTCACCTTGGGTTCATTCCTGTGACTTCCCTAGGAAAGCTTTGATCAAACCACAACAGGTATGGCATCCTTCTCTAGCTCAATGAAGCACAAATCTTTCGGAAGATCTAGACGAGGGAACCGATCAACAGGAAACGGCGAAGTTTCTCCTGTCCTCTGGTACCCACAGCGCTCATACCACGCAAGCAACTTCCTGCGAGACGAGAGGGCATTTAACCCAAATCTCTTGATGTCGTAATGCTGCCAAGCGTACTCCTCGGCAGAGCCAAGAGCCTGGCGCCCGATGCGGCTGCGCTGCAGCTGGGGATTCACGGAAAGCATGGCAATACGGGCCATTTTGGCCACCCGCTTAAAGACAATCTGGACCGAGGCCGCGAGGACGCCGTGAAAGTCAAAACCCATGAGAACTACTGCATCCGGGTTGTTGATGGTGGCGAGAACCTCATCGGCTGAGTAGCGGAACGACCTGCCGAGTTCCATGTCGGCTGTCCAATCTGCTCGGCTGTCTTCGGCGCGGAAGGCGGCCTCTACGAGTTGTGCGACTTGGGGAGCGTCGTCTTTGGTTGCACGGCGGAAAGTTACGTGGATGAGGTCGTTCATCTCAGCCATGTCTGATTGCGTGCGGGGTTGTGAACGGAAAGTTGGAAGTGGTTCGATGTCGAAATGTTGGTGATGAAGACGAGTGAGTATTGCCAGGTGGAACGATTGGGGTTTTTATGGAGAAGCAGGAAAAAGACCCTTCTACACAAAATCCTGCATCTTGAGTAATGTGGTTTTAAGGGCGTTTGCTGTGACAAGTCGAAGACATTGGGCGGACAATTTGTGTAACGGGAAGGGCGTCCGTCTGTCAGCCCAACAGAAAGGGCGCAGTGTTTCTGCCTGAAGTTGCAAGAACCCCCCACAGATAGACGCCAAAGACAGGCAAGTGCATAACAAGGGATATCGGCTTGCCGTTCATTATTTACGAAACTCCAACCATTCTATCCAAGAATACCCTCATTGGCAATTCGAGGCAACGATTCGCTCGTGTGCTTACAGTATACAGGTTTTGAAGTGGACACAAGTCCCGAGATACCATAGAATAGTGTGACTTTATCGGTCATTCGATGTGACTTTTAGGCAGCCACTGGTCTCGCTCGTGGACGAGTAAACAAATAAGAATCTGAATGACGGCCGTTCAAAGGTGGCAACTCGTTGAGGTTACTGCTTCATTCAAAGCCTGGACGCGTCAAAGTTGTATCGCCAGAGAAGGATATTGTCACCAAACAATCGAAACTCTCAGTTTGCGCCAGAGTAGCATGTATGCCTTCTATATATTTACATTATATCTCAACCCAGTTGCTTAAGGTGTTATGTACTGGATGTGTGCTGAATCTAATTTGCGTATGCCTGGGTCATGTATTCATGTACTCGCGTGAATGCTTCCTCTTCTTCAAAATGACTCGCTTGAAAAGACAATGCACCAATCGTCGCGGTGATTAAACAAGGCCGGAAATGGCCAGTAAAGCAAGGACAGTGACGGCGAGCGATGTCATATCCCATGTAAGAGCCCCGGCCGCGTTCTGAGATGTCGCAGTAGGAGATGCCGCAGATGCAGCATCAGCAGATGTCGGAGCGGACGTGGTTGATCCTCCTACAGCCGATGATGCTGCGGTAGGCGTCGCGCTCGCTGATGACACCGCCGATGAGCTCGAGCCCGCTGGTGCTGACGAGGTCGATGTCGCACTGGTCTTTGAGGACGATGACGATGTCGTTGTGTCTGCCTTGCCAACCATCTCCTGCACCCATTTACCCGCGTCGCTGGAGTACACATCAAAGTAATTGAGGTGGTTGGCAGCAGTGTCTCCTCCGGCGCAGATCGGATCGGACTCAACACAGTACGAGCGCATCATGCTGGAAAAAGCTCGCATACCGGCAAGCTGGTTCTCCGGTCGTGGGAAGAGCCCGTTGTCCGGAGCTCCCGAGAGATAGTTGTACGGCTGACTGGCGGTATGTCTCGTATCGCCAAAGATGAGCACAGCAGCGACTGGGAAAGGTCCGGTATTAGCAACTTCCAGTCTTCACAAGCTCCGACCCATGCAAACTTACGTTTATTGCCGGGCGCCTTTGTGGCATCTAACCCAGCATTCGCCTTCTGCTGACAACCCTGGAAGAACGTGCCACCTCCACCACCCAATACATCACCAACAACATGGCCGCCCTGGGAATACCCGCTCACAACGAGCTTCGCGTCCGGACAGCGCTTGTTGTACGCCGTGATCTGCGCGGTGCCATTGGCGGCGCCCTCCTCGATGGACTGGCAGTAAGGCGCCTCGAGCGGGTTGTAGAACTGAATATCCTCGTAGTCGCAGCTGTCGAGCCCGTCGCAGATGGCGGTGACGAGCTTGCCCTGGCGTCCGGGGTAGGGCTCGTTGTTCCCGCGCGCGAGGAAGATGTGCACGCTCTGGCAGTTTGCGTCGCCCGTGGCCTGGCGCGGGGTGACGACCGCGGTACCCGAGGTCAATGGCAGCGCGGCGGAGAGGAGGGCGAGAGCCGCTGAGAGGGACGAAACCATCGTGAGCTTGATCGAGAGGCTTGCAGCGGCCCGTTTCGTTGTTGGTGACAGAATGGCGAAGAGAAGCAAATGTCAATCGACCAGTTGAACGCACGCGACATCGGCTACCGAGCTGGTTTTAACAAGTCCGTCTCTCGCAATGGACTGCCACCCCTTGCGGTTAAGGCTGGAGATAGATGAGATGCCCCAGAGCCGGCGAGCCGGTGGGTGGCATTCCGGAGGCCGTCCGTTACGGGCAAATACGAGTCAACGATAAGCCCTGATCCACCGAGGTCCAGGGATCCCAACTGTCGCAGCCCCGGTCTATCTGCCATAGCAACGTCATGTTCTCCTCTGTGTTGGAACTTAGCGCTGTCAAACAAGGCCTTGCAGGTTCTGACAGATGAGACGAGCAGCTGAGAACTCCTCCTGATCGCCCGGCAAGTGGATATTGTCGGACTCCGACCGCGACGAAGCGACAAAAACGTAAACAATCATGAGGTCGAATCGTTTACCCTTTCAGAAAACACAGAGAGTCATTCATGGAATGGCTCGCTGAAGTGGTTCTCTTTGAGTGATGGTTTACAAGGAACTACCACGACCAAGAGCTGGCATTGGATGACCATTGACATTGGCCCAATGCGCTTCGCGTTGGAGGCTCTTATGTTGACGGCGACCAAAATAGACTGGCGGAAGTGTGTCGGATTGAGTGTGGCTGGTTTGTCTCGCGGTGGACATGGATCAATGAAGCTCGGAGCCCGCATTCAGGGCAACGGGAATCCCGACGCGGCACTTAAGCTCATAGAACCGCCGTTATCCGGTGAACAGAAGTTGCCTCTTTGTTCAACTTTGGGTCAATGTTAAGTCGCTCATGTTCATCTCAATCAATGCCATGTTGACAGTTGAGCTCAGATGAGTTGCAATCCAAGGTCCCGGGCAACTGAGTTGATTTGAAATTCAGCTGCGACTACCTCATTCGTCAAGCCTCAGGGCATTGTCTCACAGTAAAGGGATGCCGAGTGGGATGAGAATGTCGCAAACGAGTCTCTTCAGTTACGAAGGACACTTCTTTTCGGGAACAGTCGACTTTGATCCTTGCAACAGACTTTGGCTTTGAGGTTCTGAGTGCTGCTCTGATGATTTATACTTTAGGTGCAGAATCCCAACTAAATTCACTTCACGATGCACTCTCCAAGTCGCTCCGAGATCCTCAAGTCAGATTCGCATCAGCCAATTGTTGTGCCCACTGCCCAAGGCAGATACGTGAAATCAAGCGTTGCATTGCCTTGCATTGCCGGGACGTTACACTGTCGATCCCGTTCACACAAGGCAGAATGGCACAGACCGAAAGCTTGGCAAAGGTAAGCGGAAATCGCCTCATTGAGAACGATGATACGACTGCATCAATTCATCTATCGTCGAACGTGTGCTCTGAATGAATCATTATTCCCATACTGCATTTACGAGATTCGCTGATTACATGGTCGCAAATAACACCTTGGCATTGAAGAGTTGTGGATGATATCCTCGGGATGCGATAAAGATTGGGTTTAGAGTGCCCGGTTTCCCATTGCGACCTTCCTCATCCTCCATCTCGACCGCTTCAGGGGTACCCGCAGAGGTGCGCCATCATGCCATTCAAGCAGCATCGCACAACACGAGAGCGAGGTGGTGGCGGCGCCACAAGAATGACTTAAGGTGCGGTTCGTCCCGCGACTTGAGTCTGAGTTTTGGTGTCTTGCTTCTCGGACTTTGTCGCCATCTTGACAAGACAGGAGGACAACCCGCCAGCCGTCACGATGAAGTTCTTGGCAACAACAACAACCATCTTCTCAACCTGGGCGGCTCTTGGCGTCAGCGCCGCAGTCCAGAAGAGGCAGACCACGAAGCCTCTCGTCGACTCAGCCAGCTTCCAAGAAGAGATCACCAAGGAGAAGTATGCCCCTATGCTCAACTTTCCCTCTCTCACACGAAACTCGTTTCTAACATGATCACAGCCTCCAAGCTAACCTGGTCCAACTGAGCGACATCGCAACAGCAAACGGCGGCAACCGCGCCTTCGGCCTCCCAGGCTACGCCGCCTCCGTCGACTACGTCTTCAACCGTATCTCCAGCGCCGCCGGCGCCAAGGTCTGGAAACAGGACTTCTCCGCCACCTACAGCACCGAGCTCCGCGCCAACCTCACCATCAACGGCGAGAAGTTGACCATCTATGGCCTCTACGGGTCCCCCGACACGCCCGCCGAGGGCATCACCGCGCAGCTCGTTGCCGGACCAGAGGGCACCGCCGCCTGCGAGGCCGCTTCCTACGCAAACCTCGACGTCAGCGGCAAGATTGTGATTGTGACGGAGTCCGTGTGTCCCGGGTACCGGGATGGGTTCCACGCTGGAGTGATGAAGCCTGCTGCTGCGGCGGGTGCGAGTGCCGTGATTGTTGTTAATGATATTTCGCTCAATCTTACAGCCGGGAACCTTGGTCCGGCTGATGATGGAACGTATGTCCCTACGGGCTTCGTGAATAAGCACATTGGCAATCCGCTTCAGGCTCGATTGGCGACTGGGGAGGTGCTGAACGCTTTCTTTTGGGAGGCTGAGGTTGTCGATAGCCGCGTCACGCAGAACGTGTTTGCTGAGACGGAGGGTGGTGATGAGAACAATGTGGTTGTCGTAAGTCACGTCCGCCCTGGGTCGTATCAGCCAAACTTCTGACGATTTTCCAGCTCGGCGCCCATCTGGATAGCGTTGCATGGGGTCCAGGCATCAACGACAACGGTAAGAGAATTTGTTCCCCACGGAACTCGTTCACAAATTTCCAAATACTCACAAATATCAGGGTCCGGAACCTCACTCCTCCTGGAGCTCTTCCTAGCCCTCACAAAATACACCACCAACAACAAAATCCGCTTCGCATGGTGGGGTGCCGAAGAAAAGGGCCTCGTCGGATCCCGCTACTACGTCAACAACCTCGCCGCGCAAGAGCGCGACAACATCCTGGCCTATCTCAACTTCGACATGGTTTCCAAGGGCTACTACGGCGTCTTTGACGGCGACGGAGCGTCCTACGGCGTCCCTGCCCCGCCCGGCTCCGACGTCATCCAGGAGCTCTTCACCGCCGACTTTGTCGCCAAGGGCATCAATGTGACTGCCGCGAGGTTCACCAACGGCAGTGACTATGCCTCCTTCTGGCAGATTCTGGGCAAGCCTATCGGTGGTCTTCACACGGGAACCGGCTCTGCGCAGGATCCCTGCTATCATCAGCCGTGCGACGACATCAACAACCCAGACCTGGACCAACTGACGGTCAATGCAAAGGCAAGTGATTCGAGTTTCTTTAGGAGATGTGTTGTAAAACTCCGTTACTAACTTTTATGGACAGACCACTGCTCATGTCCTGTCCGCCTTGGCCCTCGACGGAACCAACCTGGTCAAGAAGCTGAGCGTTCGCGTGCTTCCCGCCCGCGTCGCTGTGGCTGAACGAGTCATCGCGACTGTGGAGGAATCCGAGGAGGACGAACACCACCCTTGCTGATCTGGTACGGTAGAGATAGCAAGCCGTAGCAGTTTTATAATACCTTTAATCAATATAGCTAGCCGAAAGCGAGCCGGTGATGTTCTGCTGTGCTTATTCTCTATCATCTCATTGCTGACGACGTGCCCATACGCGCCATGTCTCTTCTCTAGCGAGTGAATCTCCGACCAGACAGCTTATGAGGCCATGTGTATATCCCAGAAGCCACTAGAGGAAGAGATAATGTGTTCTGATGAGACTTCCCGGTGGATGCCGCCCGCCCCTCGAGTACCTCTCACGCAGGCCTTATAAAACGGGCTGCCGCACACAGATCTGGTGGGGAGGATCAGTGTGGCAACATCGTCTAATGTAACAGGACTCGCAGACAGGCTCCCATGGGCTGAATCGATTCCGCATGGTTTCCGGCTTGATCAGTCTGGGACTGCGGACTCATAGCTTGACGACTATCTACGAGTTCGACAAAGAGGGTCATCATTGCTCGTCTTTGGGGTGGTATACGGCGGTAAATAAACCCTGATTGGCGGGAGCTTTTTTGAGACACATCGATGCCCTCTCTTGATCCTAACGATTGATGCCTCTTGATATAGTGATTCAATGATACCACTGGATCCGAACAACTCATTGCGTTGCGAGTTACGAAGTGCCCGTCATCTGCCCGTTGCGGCTATGATTATATTCCATCTGAAGGACCTGGTAACCCATGTGCTCAACGCACTTCGCCAAAGTAAGATCACCGGCCAGAAACCAGATTCCAGAAACCATCGACAAGTCTCCAAGAGCCCGCCCCTTCTTCCTTATCCCCTCCCGCTTGCCCTCTCTTCCTTAGGATCTCTGCCTCCTTGATCTCCGCAACAGCAAGCTTGAAACCATACCCGAGATCACTCTGCATCCTCCGATGCTCCTGTACCATCTCCTCCCTCGTCCGCCTCTCAAGCTCATCCAGCTCCTTCCTCCGCGCCTCAATCTCATCAAATTTAAATTGATACTTGACCGCCAGCCCGTCTTTCTTCCGCTCCGAAATAGCCAGCACCATCTCCGTCTCTTCCCTCAAAGTACCCAGCTTAGCGAGACACTCGTCCTGCCGCAGCAGCTTCGCAAGGCTCTCTGCGTTAGCAAAATACGCCTTTACGTCCGCGACGCAAAGAACCTCGCGATGCACGGCCTTGTGCCGAATCTGCTTGATCGATTTGAAGAAGGCGTGCCAGTCGGTATGCGGGAGGGGCGCCGTCTCGGCCCGGAATGTATGAAACGCCTCATTCTCGAAGATCCACATCCACTTCTGGAGTTCAACGCACTCAGGCGACTCCCATTGTCCTGCTTCCAGGATCTTGGGGTGTGCCTGCCTCGCGTAGTCGAAGCAGGCTGTCTCTAGAAGGTTTTGGATCCTTATGAAGAGAGCGTGTTGGGCTTCGTATGATAGGAAGGCGTTGCGCAGCCCGGAAAAAGTTGCGGTCTCTATAGGTGGCTGTCGCTCTGTCACTGTTGCCGTTGACTCGGCGATGGCGGTGTCGCTGCTTGTCGTGGCGATGCTGCCCGCCGCATCACTCGTGGTGTCGCTTGCCTGACTAACGTTAAACTCCGGTCTTGCCATATTTTCTTTAACTTGAGGTGCTGGACCTGCAGTAGTAGCTTGCAGCCGAGAGAACCTTTCCGCCTTTCTCTCAGCTATGAGCGCCACGATCTTCTCCTTCCAATCCATCTCTTGTCTCCTAGGCTCCGGCGACTCTGGCGCATTCTCTGATGTAGCTACTGCCTGTGGTGAAGGCGGGTGTTGGAATAATTGAGGAAACCGCTGCTCTGCTTTCCATCTGATTCCGAAGACTTCCTTTCCAAGGAGCTCCTGGCACGTACTGACGACGACTGGCCGGGTATATTTCAAGTCCAGGGCTTTGATTTCTGGGCCCAAGCAAGCGTGGATTCTGCGTTTGATGGCTTTTTGGTGACGGATCTCGGCGTACTCTTTGGAGAAGACATCTTGCATGGCAAGATAAATCTCCTCTTCCATCGTTGAAGCCATACTTGGGGGATGGGGCGTTCTCAATAGTATATCAGAAGGATGCTGTGGGTGCACAGCCTAGTTTTGGAGGGTCAGAAGTTTGTTGATAAAGTAGATGTGGATGGTATAAGGGAATTTAAGGGTCCCAGGGTCGCATCATCTTTCAACAAGGATGTATGCGGCAATGGGCACGTCGGAGAAAGGTTTTAAAGAGTTTGTAGGGTAGGCGGGAAAGGCTAGATCCAATGTCAGTTACAACTTCAAGAGAGAGAACCACCTTGATGGAGTGCACCGCAACGCTCAAACAGTAACCTCTCGACCCTACGGATCGAGATGCAAAGCGGATTCCGACTCGTTCTTTGGAAAATTGAATCAAGAACTCACGAAATTCATAGACATACTCTTCAACTCGGTGATCTGCCTAGAAGCTGCCGAGACTAGGACTCTGGTCGAGCATAGTAGATCACCGTGGAAGGTCGAGAAGAAAGCTCGAAAGCATGTGCTCAACAAGGTGTCAAGCCCATGACTTTGGAGAGATAGTTCCTGAAGATTAAATAAAGACCCATTATTCAAAGTAGCTGATTGAGTTCCCGTCCACAAAATACTCATATGAATGAGGGAATGATGTCTTCGGCTTCCTTTGAGTCTGGTCTTTCCTTCTTGACTGGAGCCCGCCGTTGAGGCCTGGTATTCGCTCTCCGGTTCTTGAATCTAGTAAAGAGATCATCGTCGTCATCGTCATCGTCTTCATCATTCGTAGGTGGTGTATTTGTAGTCGCTCTGGCGGATGAGACAGGCTTCGGAGCCACTGTTCCCAAGGCCCCACGCCCGTTTGAAGACGCTTTCGCATCGGGCTGTCGCGCGCTGCTTGAATGAGTCGTTCGTAGCTGATTGCTTGGTCGGCTTTGGACCTTTGCAATAGTTTCTGATGGATAAGCCGGTCTTTTGTGTTCGACGTCCCTCCTGACCGGAGCTTTGACAGGTCCTCCGAGGTCATCACTCTCATCTTCCGTCGTCGCCTCTTCCACCGGCGTCCTCCTCTTCGCCGGCACCGCCGGCCTCCTGCTCTGAGAAGACCTCACCACGCCCCCAAACCCCGAAGCCGATGTCCTCACCCCCGAATCCGTCCTCGTCAGCGCCATCAACGGCACCTCCTTCTTCTTGGGACTGTGCATGAGTCCCTGCAGTGACGTGCCCCGCCACGGCACGCTCGTCTCGTCTCCAATATCCTCGTCGTCGCGGCCGGCGTCCCTCTTTGCGCGGCGCAGCGCCTCGCGCTGCTTCTTCTTACGGAGCAGCTCCTCCTGGCGTTTGCGCGCGAGCTCAGTGAGGGACCCGACGACGGGGCGGGAAATAGTTTTGATGGTTTCTGCGTTTTGGGTGCGTGTTTGGGCTTTGAGGCGCTGGTATTCTGCTGCGTGGAGGTGTGCTGTGAAGTGGCCTGCGATTGTGACGAGCTCGTCCTCGACCATGCGGTACTTGTCGTCATTTTCGAGGCCCTCTACCATGAGTCTGTATGCTTGTCAGTGGTCCGTAGCTTCTGGGGTGAGAAGGGGAGGGGTACGTTTCCGGCAGAGGTTCTGGCGGTGGTGAAGTTGAAGGGCTTCTGCCTATTAGAGTTCCAAATCAGTGAGAGAAACAATGGGAGCAGGCGCGACTCATACCTCCGAGGAAACCATTTGAGCGGGTTGGTTTTTGGTTCGAATGATCCAGCGGCGATGCAGCAGCTGTCGTCGCTCGAGATACTGCCCGATTTGGTGTCGCGGTTTTGCGAGGTGTCGTTGCAGTGTGTTTCTTCGGGGTTGACGTCCGTTCCAGTGCATTACGGTCCCAGGGGAGTTGTCGCGTCATGACTTCGATAGTGTGTGAAAGATCTGATGCGACGAGGCTATAAGCGGGAAACTCTCATGATCTGGAGTTTTCAGGTCGATGTCATTAGAGTAAGTTGAGATTGAATGAGATGGTTGATCACGACTGCCTGTTGTGAGCAGGCCAATAAGGTCGCTGTGGTTGAATGAAGCTCGTCGCGCCTTCCAGGTGAGACTAGAGTATGTGCATGTGCACACAATTATGCAAGGATCTGCATAACTATCTCCGAATGCACGCCCCATATTCTGCATAACTGCCAAAGCACCACTACTCATAGCCATCAACCGAACGAAATGCATCGCAGAAAAGTTATCTTGATAGAAAAGAAAAGTACCCGATCCGGGATATGACTATTTTGAACGCTATGAGTATTCCCCATTTTATCTATCATCCGTAACCCAGCCCAGACAAATTACACACATCACCAACATATCCTTCAACCCAGGTTGAATTCACTGGCCGCATTCATCACAGCCCTCATCTTCATCTTCATCTTCCTCTCCATCTCGCTCGGCTCGGCACCAGTGTCAATATCCTCCATCGCGTTGCCACCTGAGGGCCTGTTGTCTCCTCTTCTCTTGCCGGCGTTCTTTTGCTTCATGACCGCCTTCTTGCTGTCGTGGCCGCCACGTCCGATGCCTGACGGCGCTTCGCGCAGGCCGTAGGCCTTTGCCATGTGACCCAGGTGCAGCTCGTTGATGTCAAAGTAGACGCGCTCGTCCTTGATGTGGGTAGCGTACGCCCTGATGTGCGAGCGGAAGGCCTTGCGAGCCTCGTCTAGGAGTTTTGTTGCCGAGTCGAGGAGAAGACGTTGTTCAAGGTGAAGCTGCAAGTTCTCGGCGCGGTTGCTGAAGCCCCTGTCGGTCGCGGGCTGGGGCTTGGTGTCCGTCTCCACGGGGAATTCCATGCCTGTCGTGAAGCCCTTGTGCAAGATAGTGTCGTAGAGCTCAGGCTTGGGAGGTGAAGCGTTCTTGGACTTGAGGAGGTCGATGTAGCCTTCTTCGCAGCCAGGCATGAGGAAGAGGACCGCCTTACCGGGCTTACCGGCACGTGCTGTACGACCGATACGATGAACGTGGTCGTCTGCGCTGAAGGCGGGGTCGTATTCGACTACGAGCTCGACGGAGGGCACATCGAGACCACGAGACGCGATATCGGTGGTAAGCAGGACTGTCGGGTCTGTACATTTACTGTAAGACGCCAACGTTGCCGTACGGACTGGTTGAGGGAGGGAGCCGTGTAGTTTGTGAAGGACGATGTTTGTGTTCGCTGCTGATGTGATGTACGCCGAAGACGCGACGGTATTTGCGGTTGCGGACGTTGCGTTATCGGCTGAGCTCTCCTCCTTCTTCGGCGGTTGACGAAGGAGATTGAAGTGATAGTCGACTGAGTCGGCACAGGAAAAGAAGACGATGGCTTTCATCACCGACCCCTTTCGTGAAAATGTTGACTTCAGAAGTGCTATGAGCGTCACCAGCCGCAACTTAGCTGGTACAATCAAGTAATTCTGCTTCAGTTGTGCCGGCGCCTCGAACTTGATCTCTTCTCCCTCGACGTGCTCTTCTCCTGATGTGGTAATGTGAACTGCATCCTCCAGACTGATCTCGCCAAGCTTCTGAACGTTCATCTTCATGGTGGCCGAGCAAAGAACTGTCACGCGACGCTGTGGGAGGTTGGCGAGGGACACGCCGTTGGCTGTCTTGTCCGCCAGAGGGTTCTCACGGATCCTGCTGACAATGGTACGCAGTTCCGCCTCGAAACCCATCTCCATCAAACGATCGCCCTCATCGAGAACCAGCCACCTCACAGTGCCGACGTCGAGAGTCTTGGTGTGCTCTAGGTGATCGCTCAAACGACCGGGTGTTGCGATGAGAATGTTTACACCTTTCCGCAGGCGGCTCTTCTCAGAGTGTTTGCTCTCGCCACCAATGACTGTTGTGCTGACCAGGTACGGCGGAAGGACCTTTGCGAGAACGAGCTCAATCTGTTTGCAAAGTTCACGGGTAGGCGCCATGACGATGGCGAACAAGCCCGAATCTCTCTTGATCTGGCCCTCAACCGACAGGATCCGCTGGATGATGGGCAGCAGATACGCCAAAGTCTTTCCGGAACCAGTCTGCGCTTGCACGAAGGCATCACTGTCTTCTTTGATGAGTTGAGGAAGAACCTTGGCTTGAATAGCAGTCGGGGCCTTGAGCTGGATCTTGCCGGAGAGCGTCAACGCCAGTCGTCTTGAGATACCGAGGGCGTGGAAGCTGGCAGCTTCATCGGAAAGCGGCGCGTTTGAAGGCTCGGCCACCTTCTCTTCAATCTTCTCAGCACCGGGCTCATCGAAGACGGTCTTTGGCGTGGGGTTGTAAGAAAAGAGTTTGGATGAGATTTGGCCGTCCCTCAGCTTGTTCGCGATGCTGCCGGGCGGCGTTTTTCCAGTCCGATAAGCCGTCGCATGAGGATGCTCTGGCCGCGCTCGCTTCGCCGGGCGCTCAAAAGAATCGTCGTCGTCGCCAGGGCGGTCTGACCTCTGGGGTTTCTTGGATCCAGGCGTGTATCTTTGCGGTAGCGGGGCATCGTCTTTGACTGTTGATGAAGCATCTTTTTCAGTGCCTTTATTCGCAATCCGGTTGGCCTTATTTCTGTCGCGCCAGCGACCACCCTGGATCTTGACATGAGGCTTGACAGGGCCGCTGCCCATGTCAAAATTGAGAATCATGCCATCGTCCGCCATTTTGTCGATGAGACTTTGCCGTTGGTCGCAAAACTGAGGCGCAGGGTTGCCGAGACTTGGTGGAAATTTTCAGACAAGCAAAGTCTTATCGCTGTCGGGGTTTAGATAAGCCCCACACTCCACCATGCAAGGGCGCACGGTCCACCGCTAAGGAGGCTCCGACTATGTCGTATGCTGCGCAGTAGCTACTTCGCCAGAGTACCTTGCATTGTGAACTTGGAGTTTTGAGGAGGGACATGGAAGTTGACGCCCTCAGCATACCTTTTATCAGCATTCGCCAGCTACTATCTGGAGTCCTTTAATCTTCTGCTCACTCAGAATCTCTTGTACTTCCACCAGTGACTTCCGTGATCGAAGCGATGCTTGTATGAGATCTCTTCGCCGAACCAAGCCACTGTCTGATTGATGCCATCCACCGCAGAATCTCGATTTGGAGGTCCTCCAAGCCTCATCCGTCTTCTGCCCGTGTATATTCTTACCTGTATTTCTTCCAGTTGAGACTGACCAGCCAGTATAGGAACTGCTATCTTGAAATAAAGATGCGAAGCTCTGACTCACACTTTACGCCAGAAGGTGAAGGCATACGCTTGATACAACAAGACACCAACGGGCCATCGAGAGGATAGACCACCGCGGTCATTGCTGCTCGTGCGGGACATTTGACGGAACTGCATTGCGCTGGTGGCCAACATATATGTATAGAGCTGACTGTTCATAGCACACCAGCCCTTCAGATTTAGCCGTCGCGGACCGGGGAGTGAATGGAAATAACTGCCACCTCCCTCCATGAAGTCTACGAGGTATTGTCTATATCCGGGGCAAGAGCTAGGCAACTCCTTCTTCCAAGATTCCGGGCACGCAACACAAGCCATTCTTCTTTTCCCTCATCAATGACCTTCTCGATTGCTGAACTTCAATGTACTCATGTCCTTCGGCTAACTTCGCGGCCAATTCAAGAGATGATGCATCTCGATTTGCCGTAGTCCCGAAAGTCCGGGGGTAAGATGCCCAATTGACATCGAGGGGATTCTTACCTCTCTCAGCCCCATTCTACGGATCATTTTCCTAAATGAAGCGCACCCTCAAGTACAGAGGTAAACTCTCAAAATATGGGAGACGTAGCGGCACAACTTCAATAAGGCACGCGAGGATTCGTCATCTGATGCAACGCTTCTGTAATGATCAGCAAACTTCTCAGGGGCCCTTGCATACCCAAAGGAGGTTAATTGTGAGACCCTGGCTTTGCATAGGAGGAGAGTATCCAATAGCACATCTGGATCTCGACTCTCATGTCGAAGGCCGTCTACGCCAGCATGAACAATTGAAACCAAAAAAAACAAACGAGCAGCCCAATAGACTCGAGAATAACGTTTCGCGTTCTCAGCGGTTACCATCCTGTAGCACCCCTCCCCCCAGATGTTGTGATACCGCTAATATTCCCTAGGCAAAAGTGCACTTCTCTGACCGATTGGCGGATCTTGGCTATGCGTCCATTTGCTGCTGGCCTCGTGGAGAAAGGCTCTTGTCTGAATCTTTACTCCGCTTACTCTGAGCCTCATCTTGGCAGATGGTGTATCGACGACAACGACGAGCCTGATTCTTGCTTTTCTTGTTCTCTCAATACGTTTCGCAATGCTATCATACGACATCGACGACGAGACGCTCCGGCTGATCCTCCAGATGCACTTGGAGGACCTCGAGAGCATCAACCAGAGCAGCAAGGGCAAATGCCGCGCGGACGAGGTCACCGATCTTGATATAGCCATCAAAACCTACAAGTCGGAGCTCGAGGCTCATGCCCTACTCGCGGCGGACAGGTGCATGTGCAAGAGTATAGCCAGAGCGAACCAAACCGACGTCCGCATCATCACCAATCTCGCCAGGCAGGAAGGCCAAGCTGCTCGAGATAGGCAAGTGGCCATTCGGCTCAGCAACGGAGAGGAACTCGACGAAGATGTACTTGCAATCCCTGTCCGGTCGAACAAGGCCAAGAGCACGGAAGATGAGATGCTGCGAAAACTTGAGGCACTCTTCGTCTCTGCCAACCGCAAAGAGGAGGAAGATGATGAAGACGATGACACCTTGAGCCCCCCAGAATCATCATCATGGGCAGCCTCTAGACTCCAAATCGCCGTCCCAACAACCAAAGCCACCAAGAATATAACATGCGACAGCTGCACAAACACCTACCCCTCCACCACAGCCGCCCACCTCCCATGCAACCACAGCTACTGCCGCGACTGCCTCCGAACCCTCTTCCAACTCTCCCTCACAGACGAATCCCTCTTCCCGCCGCGGTGCTGCAGACAGCCCATTCCTGTCAACGACAACAACATCAGGGCCTTCCTCCCCTCTCGACTACTTGGCAGCTTCCGCGCAAAGGAGCTCGAGCTCTCGACGCCCGACCACACGTACTGCCACCGCCCGACCTGCTCCCGCTTCATACCAAAGGAGTTTACGCGGGGTGATATCGGCACGTGCCCGGCGTGCCGGCACGAGACGTGTCTGATGTGCAAGGGCGCCGGGCACGGCGCGCAAGATTGCACGCAGGACACGCAGACGCAGGCGCTTCTGGAGGTCGCCGCTGCTAACGGGTGGCAGCGCTGCTTCGGGTGTCGACGGATCGTGGAGCTCGATCACGGATGTAATCACATGAGTGAGTCTCTTCTCCCGTCTCCCCCGCCCCCTATTCTCCCATCTCACGAATATGGACGTTGAACACTAGCTGATAACCATCATCCTCAAAAAGCCTGTCCCTGCGGAGCACAATTCTGCTACCTCTGCGGAGAACGATGGAAGACATGTCATTGCGCGCAGTGGAACGAGGAGCGGCTCGTTGCCCGCGCCAACGCCATCGTGGACCGACGGGCCGACGCCCTGCGTCTGGGTGCCGCGGCGAGAGCGCAACAAGTCGAGAGGGAGGCGCACAATCTCGTGGAGAATCATCAGTGCGCTCATCCCACCTGGAGGAGCCGCCGCGGATGGTTCCAGTGTGAGGAGTGTCGTGACTTGCTGACGGAGTATATCTATGAGTGTGCTCAGTGTCGCATCCACGCATGCCGCAGATGTAGACAGAACCGACTTTAGAGAGTAAGAGTTGTGTGAGGAGTTCCTCGGACTCCAACAAATTATGAAAATGTTTACATTTGGTCCTTTTTCAACAAGAACAACGATAAAATCCATAGATTGCAATGGCAAATGGACAATCACGCAAAAGACAACTCTTTCCAAACTCGTACGGAAATAATCAACACAAAATGCAAAAGAAATTGCGGCCAGTGTGGATTGAACACACGACCTTCAGATTAAGTGATTGAAGTTAACTTCAGTCTGACGCTCTCCCAACTGAGCTATGTCCGCCGCATTTGATTGGTAGTTGTCAGCAGTGTCGCATGCTGAGTAGCGTCGTGGGTGGGCCCAGGCCTGCAGCGGCAGGCCCGGAGAGAGGGACCCTTCGTACCCAAGGTGCATCTTCCGCGCCGACCTCACGCGTCCGGGGATCGTGAGGTGAGCTTCAAGCCTGGAGTTGGCTGCTTTTAATCTGCCCCGTGACTTCGAGGTAGAGTTGCTGCAAGAAAGCTCTTTTTGGCGCCGAAAGTTCTGAAGCATGTCACTTGCGTGTAGGGTTACCTGGCTTTACTGAATCCTGACCAGAAGACCAAAGAGCTCAAGCAATGTACTTGCTTACGTAGTGAACATCGCCTCTCGAACATTCGTATACGCTAGCTAACATCATACTCTTTTCTATATTTTTATGCCCTCAAATTGGTTGCTTTTTGTTTCGTTTCTCAGCTCCTCAACATCAACCGCACCTCTCAAGCCAACCACCCATCATACGTACTCAACTCCTCCCGCCTCGCACCCTCCATCTCCCCCTTAACACCCAACAACCGCACCCTCGCCCCCTTCTCTCTCCCCCACCCCTCCAAGAACGCCTCAACCCTCTTCTGCGTAGCCTCATCATCCCTCATGATCAGAGCCACCGCATCAAACCCGCCCGCCCCAGGCACGACCCCGCCCAACACGCCCTCCACACCACTGAGCGCATCAAGCAGCTCCGTCTGCGACTCAGGCTCAATCGGAACACCGCTGCCCTGTCCCATAGCCCGAATCAGACCCCTCACATCCGCAACCGCGCCGCCAACCTTGTCCGTCTCCCCGTTCTTCAACGCCGCCGCGAGAGCCTCGTTCTTGCCCTGCAACTCATCCCACAGCGCCTTGCTCCCCTCCGCATCCGTCTTCCTCCACTCGAGCACCTTCTTCACCATACTCACCGTCTGACTACCGCAATCAACATCACACATACGAAGGCACACGCCCTGCGGTAATCCCGTCCCAGCCTTATCAACCTCGACATCCCACGCCAGCAACTCATCTACCTTCCTCACCAACGCCTCCGAGAACCCCGGGCTACCCGCCGCCCCGAGATCGGAGAGCAGAGAGGGCGAGAAGCGGCGGTACCGACAGCTTCCAAACACCGCAGCCGCGACATCGAACCCGGACCCGACCTTTCCTTGGGCAGCGCAGTGGGCCGCCTGCGCGAGGTTGTGGAGCGTGTGCTTCCCCGCCTCGGAGTTGATGTCAAACAGCGACGTGGGAAGGTGGTGCGTCAGGAGAGCGGCGGTCAGGGATGTCACGAGCGCGGCGGAGGAGCCGAGCCCCGTCTTGTGCGCTTCGCCGATGGTGTGGGGGTACCGCGCGAAGCGGGTTCCCTTCTTTGCTGTCGGGACGGCGGTGCCGGAGACGGCGGAGTCCGGGTCATTGGATGCAGAGGGCAGGGAGTAGTAGTCGTTGTCGGCGAGGATGATGAGGCGGGTTGAGGTGAGGGCGTGACTCGGGCGCTGCTTGTTGATGCGGGCGATGTAGGTGAGGGCGTAGCTTAGGGTCGTCTCGACGAATGTGTTTGGGTTGATTTTGGAGCCGCTGGGAGGAGGTTAGTGATGAGATGAGATGAGATGAGTGAGAGTAAGGATGAGGGTGAGTGAGGCAGTATGAGAGCTAGAGTGATCATGCTTTGCTAGATGTGATGATGATGTTGATCGAGAGCGGAAAGATTGTCAGGCACATATGATGGGGCGTGGCAAAGCAAGCACAGTGAGATCTCACCCGCCTCAGCACTCATCTGCCGCGTGAATATCTCAAAAGATTGCCCCTCATCAACCACATCCCACGCAAGCCCCGCACCAAAACGCTTAAAGAACTTTGAGACACACAATTCCCCTCAACACACCCCCGCCGATCCATCACCGACTGAACGCACCACGACAAAAGGCAAAGAAGCATCAACTTGAGAAAAATGAGAAGCAAAGCCACTTACACCTGCAGCTGCGTAACCGTAATCCCCCCATCCTCAGGCGCGAGATGGAACCCGTACCGCCAGACGGCGTCGACAAACTGCGGGCTCTCGACGACGATCTCGGTCAGGTGCACGCCCGGAATGGTGTGGATCTCGGCGGCCACGACATTAATACGCGCGCTGAGCCCAAAGACGAGGCCCGTGTAGGCCCGGTCCAGGACCAGGTAGCCGCCCGCCAGGAGGACCTTGCCGGGCGCCGAGACGGCCGTCGTCGTGGGGTTCGCGGTCACCGAGGAAGCCGGCATTGTTTTCGGGAAATATAGCCTGGTATCTAACGGTGTATGTGTGTATATGTGTCGGTGTATGTCTTCGGGGTTAGGTCCGGTTTGTGTGAGGGGTATGTGAGATCTGTATCTCAGATTGCAGGACGAGGCAGATATCTACGACCGTTAAATCTCGCCAATTGAATCTGTGCAGTTATGCAGCTTGCGATGGTAGGAATTTCCGCGCGCTTGGAAATGCGGTTCAGCTGTAAGGTGAGGCACAGTGAGGGGTGGGTTGTGTGATGACGCAGGCGTGATGGAGGTGAGGGCAGCTAAGTAGTTGAAAGTTTGGGATGCGAAATCGCATCGTGGGAGAGGACCGGACGCACAGTGCTAGTGACATGTGTGAAGAAGCTACTGTACCGATCATGCACTGTGCAAATCTCTGGTTCCATCCCAACGAGGAGCCTCAAATTATCGCCAAAGCTGGCACACTCGAAACGACAGCCAGAGTTCCAGCTCCAGCGGTCAGACACTTGTACTGAACTCATAGTTGCGTACCGATCAGATTGTGGAGGAGAATTCCAATATGCTTCAGCACATCTCCACTATCCAAATCCATTGAACATTACACACTGACAGCAAAACATCACCAGAATCTTCACACTGCAGGCCAATTGTTTGAACAGTCGACAAATCTTATTTTGTTGGATGCTGCCGGTAATATACATACAGCAGGATCACATGCCCTCATGACATGTCGTCGTAAACCGACCCCCAGTACCCTTTCCGTCCATTCATGATCCTCTATGCTGCGTTTGCGCTTCTATCCGGCGCCCGCTTTTTTATACTATGCTTGAGTGGGGTTGTGTCTATAGTTTGGGCCGTTGGCCGTCATCGCTCGCTTTCCGATAAAAAGCCCCTGAACGGGTGCTCAGTCGCCGTGACCCTTTTGCTTCCGACAAACGCCGTACCAACCCAGTATCCCGATTACGGGGGTATGAATTCGACTTCCGGTTCAAACTCCAAATTCCAAAACCATGTGACGATATGAAATGCTTTCGGCACACTGCCGTAAACCAGACTGGCCGCCGATCCTGGCCAGGCACCCTCAGTCCACCTACTTCAAAACACAACGGGGTATCAAGCAACGCGGTAGATGAGGGCAGTTACAAAGGAAATGTGTTCATCGAGGGAACACGCAGAGCAGCTGCTCAATGCGTGATTCGTTGAATTGCCGAACAAGGTGACAAGACAGGTGTTGGGATGAGCTTAGTTGTGTGCAACAGCTTCCTCACCACCGCCACCGCCAAGGAGCTCCAGCACCTTGTTGACAACAGCACTGGGGTAGCCGCGGCAGAGCATCTCTCCAACAACACCCTTGGCCTTCTCGCGCTCCTCAACGGCGAGGTAGGCACGAGTCATGGCCTCGTATGTGCTGGGCTCGCGCTTCTCGTGACCGACAGAGTCGTAGATGGCTTGGGCCTTCTCAATCTGCTTCTCAGCGGCCCAGCCGTGGATCAGCGTGTTGGCGATGTAAGGAGTCATCTCAACACCTCGTCTACGCATCTGACCAAGGATAGCCTCAGTGTCGCCGACCTTGTGGTTGGCAACCATGGCCTCAAACAGGGCTTGGAATAGGCTAGCGTTGGCGGTGACAGCGCGGTCGGCCATGACAGAGTCGAAGACCTTACGGGCGCCCTCCATGTCGTGAAGGTTGCAGCCACGGGCGTGGATGAGAGCAGCGAAGTGGACGGCCTCGGGCTTTTGACCGGAGGTGCGGATGGCCTCGAGGACCTTCTCAGCAGCATCCATGTCAATGGGCTCGAGGGTGGCGTGGGTGTCAACAAGAAGCTTGTAGGTGTGAGCAGTGGGGGCGATTCTTTTGACCATCATGCGATCGTAGTAGGCAAGAACCTTCGCCTTATCGCGCTTGGTGGTAAGGAAGAACTGCATCATGCTGTTGTAGGGAGCAGGGCGGGCCTTGTAGTTGGGCATCGCCTCCATCTCATCAAACAACTCTTCCGCAAACTTCTCATCGCTGACGCGGCAAAGGGCGTTCACAATGGTGCCGTAGGTGACCGAAGTAGGCTTGATTCCCAGAGCGCGCATCTCGGCGAAGTAGAACAAGCAGTCGTCGATGCGACGAGCCTTGCCCAACTTGCCGATCAAAGCATTGTAGAGAAAAGAGCTGGGCTCGACACCCTCGGCCTTAGCACGATGGAAGATCTTAACAGCCTCGGAAGCCTCGTCAAAAGTCTTGGCTGATTCCTTGAGGGTGGTGATGTACAAGCCGAAGGTGTTAGCGGAGGGCGCGGCTCCCATGGCAAGCAGCTCCTGGTGGTACTGCTCGGCCATCTGGCGGTGACCAATGGTGAGGCAGGCGCCAACCATGGCGTCCAGAATTGAAGACCAGCCGTAACGGACAACAGCGTACTGGGGCAGCAGGGGAACATCGGTGCGAGCCATGGCGAGAATGTCGTTGCAAAGCTCCATCTTACCCTCGCGGGAAGCAGCAGAGATCAGCTTGGCGTAGGTGATGTAGCGAGGGTGACGGCCGGCACGGCGCATGTTGCGGAAGCGGCCAAGAGCATCGTGAAGTCTGGGACCCTTGCGGCCGTGAGAGCCCTCGAGCTCGTCAGAGATCAACGAAGAGCCCTTGAAGTCGGTGTTGTGCGCGTACGGGTCGAAGGAATCCTCAAAGCTCGAGACAGTGGCTGATGTGGTGAAGGGGGAGGCGGAGAGGTTCTGGGAAGACAGCTCGCGAGGATCGGTGATGCCACGGCTGCTCATGAACTGGTGGACAAAGTCAACACCCTCCTCAATTTCGTCAGCAGACTCAGGGTTGGCAGCACGAATGCGCTGGAACATGAGCTCCGACTCGGCGAGACCCTCAGCAACTTGGCCCGATCCAATCATCGCAATGGCGTACATTGCAGTGGGCTCGATGAGCGCCGGGGTGACCGGGGTCTCAGGAGCACAGAGAACGTGCCAGTAGCGAGCTGCGGAAGCGACATCGCCCTGGCGTACGCTCAAAGCAAGAAGTGCCATGGCAGGGGTAGCAATCTGGTGGAAGTTGATGGGCAGGTTGGCAAAAGCAGCAACGGCGGTGTGCTTGTCGCCGTGGTCCGCTGCGCGAGTAGCAAGGCTGCTCATGGGGTCAGCTCTGACCTCAGCCTCGACAACCTGTGCCCAGCGAAGGGCCTCGTTGAAGATGCCGCGGTCAGTGAAAGCCTTGACCATGCCAGAGCTGACAATCGCATCCTTGATGTCGCCGGCGCGGACACCGTACTCCTTGATGATCTTCTCGTAAAACTTCATCGCGCCGTCAACCTTGTCGGAGATGATGTAGGCGTGAATGACAGAAGCGTACACTTCGGCGTCCAACCTGTCGTTAAGGGTAGGCTCACCGTTGTCGTTGGCAACTGCAAGATCCTTGTACTCATTGTAGCACTCGACCGCGCTAACCAGGTCGCCGGAAGTCGCGAAGGCGGTGATCATGCTGGGGAACATGGCGGCGAAGGGGGTGACGCGGTTCAACTCCATGTGCTCGTACAAGCGGAGCATGTCGGTAACACGCCCAGCTTGAGCACAAGCAGAGATGAGCTGGTGGTATGACTCAGCAGAGTAGGACGCTCTCTGGGTGAGAACAGACTTCTCAAACATGTCCATGGCAAGATCGAGCCTATCATCCTCGGAAAGAATGGCATGCTCGAGCTCGTGAGAAGCGAACATAAACTTGCCGGGCTCATCCATGCCACCGAAACGAACCAACTTGTCGTGGAGAGTCTTCTTCAAAGAGGCAACCTCGAGGGATCGGGCCGCAAGGAGACCAACAAGAATGTTGTAGGTATCGCTGTCCGGCACGATCTTGCGGCGGAGCATGTCGGCGTAGACATCCAGAGCCTTGGTGACCATCTCATTCTTGGCGGTCGGCAGGTGAATAGCGGCAACCAACAGAGCGTTGTAGGCGCTCGCAATGGGCTGCACGCCGGCGACGAGCATAGCCTCGAAAACGGCCGGGATCTCAGCGTAGCGGCCATCCTCAGAAAGCTTGTGAAGGTGGTCGGCGTACACCTGGGATTGAGGGTCGAAAGGAGGAGTGGCAGTTCGGGCTACGCTGACGGGAGTCCGCGATCTGTCAATTGCTGGGGACTGGTATGAACGAGCTGCGGAGCCATTGTGGGATGCAGATCGAATAGAGTGCTCAGAAGCCTCTTCCAAAGCTTCCATGCGGTTCCTGAATTCGATTTCCTTCTCGAGTGCGGCGTCAATCTGCGCCAGGGCGGCCTGTGCCTCTAATGGAATTGGCGAGGCTTCTCCATCTTGAGCGGCGGTGAGCTCCTCGGCATCGTGGTCCTTTGACTCGCCAACTAAGATGGAAGCCGGTGAAGGCTTCCACTCAATCTGGCGCTGGAACTGGAACTGGGTCCATTCCTTGTCGAGATCCTCTTCGGAGGCCTGCTGCTCCTGCAGCGCCTCGAAGTAGGCGTCTAGGCTTCCATGCTTAAGCTTCTCGTCGAGCTTCTCGTGGTGGTGCTGGGGGAGGCCAGCACTTGTCCGCTCAGCGGTGTGGAAAGCAGACTGAAGCTGAAGAGACTGAAGACGACCGAAGCGGTTGGTGTTTCGGCGCGCAAATGAAGGTCGGTTTTGTGTGTTGAGGATGGGATGTGTGGCAGCTACGACGGACTGGGCGTAACCGTGGGTGAATGACTTTGCGAATCCTTGACGGATGAAGTTCTGGTAGAGGGAGGAGTAGATGGTGGGCATTTAGAAGACGCGGCGGAGGGGGGAATTCTGTATGGCAGGATTATCAGTCAATTTGTGGTTTCCTTTGGAATTGTTGCTCCATGAACGGTGATCGACAAGATTTGCGCTGTGCTTTCCGCGTGTTCAGATGACACCTTTTTTTTTTTCCGTCCTCCGTCTCTTGGAGGAAGCTGCGCATTTGGGGATGTTTCGCCACAGCCAAATAAAAAAAAAACGCCGGGCGAACGGGGATAATGGCACGGGCGACTCAGACGGCTGCCGGGATCATTGAGTGGTGACGACTTACATAGGGAAATATGAAGAGTCCGTTGCAGGTTCATTTGACAGCACTGTAGCCGCCAAATAAACGCGCGATCTGATTAAAAAAGGGTTATTGTACTGGATATTGAAAAGCAAGAAGAGGGAGGGAAGCAAGATGATGACGGGGAGGGGGCCTGAGGTAGAAGTATTAGTCTGAGGCGCCGATAGATTTGGTGACTACCCGTACGGATACTGCCATCCACTACTGCGTACTCCGTACCAAGTGTCTATGGTGGCCGCAAGGGAAAAAAAAGAAGTGCAGGGTACACCGATCGGTAGGGAGGTGGGAGTGGGAATGGGCCTGGGAATGGAAAATGGGAGAGAACGGGAGCGCGTTTGAGATCGGACGGAGTCGATGAGGCGTACTACAGCCGATGCAAAGGAAGTCACTTTTCCATGGTTTACAGTGTGAATGTCGTAGCTGTCATTGTGGTAGGTACTTTGCTGCCTCTGCCACCTCAGCTGGAGCTACTACGGATCGTCCACCGGCCACGGCTCTCGAATCCCTCCTTGGCCCGTCACGGCTGTCTCTTTCAGACTCTGGAAGGAATGGAGAATGGAACAGAAGGGGGGCCAGCTACGGGCACGCTAGACAGGGGCGAGTGGCAGGCCGCAGACCAGGGGAAAGGAAGCAAGGCGAAGGCGAAGGACTTTGCATACGGAGTAAGGTAGTGTATCCGTAGAGTCTCACTCGCACTTGCGCGCACTGAGAAGCATGGAGGAGAGACAGCCTCGAGAGAACTTGGAAAAAAAAACCACAACAAGAATATGCGCAAAAGACTGGGGGACTTGTTCGCGTGGACTCGGAGCTGTCGCATGGACTGTGCCGACCTCATCCAGTCATGTTGCGCGCTGACGGGAGAGGTGCGGGTACGTGACGGCCAAGGGTGGATTCGGGAACTTTAATTACTAAGGCCGTTGTGTCCGCGAGCTAGGTAGGTCCTTCCAACTTTCCATGTCTTCTCAGTAACTTGTTGCTGCCATTTTCTATGGGTGGATACATTGAGGCTACTCCTTGATATTAATGACTCAGGCAGCAAACCCCGAACTGTTTGCGAGCTCTGAGTGGCTGGCCACGCTCTCTAGCCTCATGTTGCTGTGGCTCACTCCCTTGTTCACGCTTGGGTTTACGGACCAAGTATTGAAAAAGCAATGCTGGTTCATATTGGAATGGGTCCTGACATTGACAGTACATCCATCCGTAAGATCTAGCTACGATACCGAGACAGAACCTGAGAAAGGGGATGGACAAGAAGGTAGTCACTAGGTGGCCTCAATGTCCAATTCTTTCCGAGATCTGCCTCTTTCTCCCATTTACGTGTGCGTTGAAAGCTGACAGGTGGCGGCGTGTAGATTTAGAATACGGGATGAAATGAAGTTGGAAACGGGACGGATACGTCTAGTAAACGCCCCCCGGGGCCGACTATGCGTGTCATAGGTATTCGTATGGATAAACGACGCGTTGAAGGCGCAAAAGATACTTAGCTTGTCGCAAGTTTGAAAAGCCCGTTCGGTCACAAGTTCACTTTGAGCCCCTCACCTCCCTCGGCTTTCCAAAATGGTTCCCGCAGTGAGATGACGACTCTGACCTGCCGCCTGAGGACGCGAGATTTGATTGATCATCGTGCGCATCAAAGAGGCCCAGCTATATTCGTGCTAAGAAACGGTCTAAAAGCTGCGCTGGAACGTCAACTTGTCAACGCCTTGGAACGCCTGAACGCACACGACCACCAAAAACACGGGGAAATTTGGGGCTACATCCCAGGGGCAGGTCGAGGTGCCACGGTACATGGCAAAGGGGGGCCTCCCAGGGCTCACGAATCCAGGCGATTGCCAAATCAGGCCGATGACTCTTTGATGTCTCCCACCCAAATGGCCCCCCTTCTGCGAGAAGAAACCGGCACCAGTGTACTGGATTGCGTGGGGCCGCTTCAAGGCTGGAGGCATTTTCGAACTTTTGATAGAAATGCATGTGGTCCATCCCCAATGTTTCCCCGGGGTCGTCCAATTGACGTGAGGTTGAACGGATAGAAGGTACGGGATACCTGCTCCTCCCCTGGCTGAGCCAAGTTGGAAGGTCGTGGACGCGAATAGATGGCATCCGAGCCGTGACCAATCAGAGCCGGCCCAATGCTGGGAGAAGCCGGAAGGCACGGGATGGTCGGGGAGCTCTTCCTGCCTCCACTCGGGAGCCACTCACCCAAGGTCAAGGAAGGACCAAGTGCTGAGTTCCGTCCTGTCGGGAAGCTGCCTCCAGCCCCGCCCTTTCCATTCCGTTCCCACCCATTGCTGTGTTTCGCCCACTGAGGTAAGAAGTGCCTCCGTACTGGCTGGCAAGTAGCTGCACAACTCTGCACCGTCCACACTTGTCTCCAGTTCCCTCCCCTGCTCCGGTACTTCCCCGCCGGTAGCGTCTGCTAGTCGTCCCCATTGGTGATTCACCAACCAAACTCCCATCCTCGCACGCAAATTTTTCAACACCAAATCCAGGGGCCATGATAGCTGAGGCGGACACTTTGCTCAGCTCCGACCGTCCCTTATCTTGACGATCGTGGCTAAATTTATCCATCACTGGTAAGACTGGCACAGCTGGGTCAGCTTCAAGCTCAACGCATCTATGACCTGCTACCTGGGATCAGACATTGTCAACAATGCTTCCCCAGCCACAACCGTTGACTCCAGGTGAAGTGAGGTTGGCAACAAGCTATGGATCGCCGCCGCCGCCGCCGCCAGCAACACGAGCGGAAGAAGAAACAACAAATTACCAGCATCAAATTTCGACCCTTTTTCGCATTTCCAAATTCCCCTCTGGCAACCCCTGGTTTGACTCCTTTTTCTGAGAGTCTGAGACCCAGCCTGCTACGGATACATAGTTTTCTATCCCATGCCCTTGGGGCCTGTCTTTCGCTCATCCCTTGCCTCCGCGGACGAATGGCGGCGCGCCCAAACTGACAATGTAATCTGCCCCTCCAGTCCCCGTGGACCCTTTGCTTCAAGGGTCACTTACCGCATTTCTCTGAATCTCGAACACGGCCCGGAGATGGCGATGAGATCTTCATTGCCAATTGTCTCGTCAACTGGCAGCGGGAGCGATATTGGGCCCAAAGTCAAACTGGCCTGGCGGTGTGAGCCTTCTCAGATTCCCTGTCGTTACTATGGCAGGCCGCAGACGGTTGTCAATGTCGTGCCCTAACAAACGCGACGCGTCGAGACAATATTGAGAAATCGACATGTCCCTGGAACTCCTCCTCCGCAGTTGGAGAGGAACGCACGCACGACCGGCAGCATTTCCCAGGCCAATGGCAGACACCCTGTTAACCGTGGCCAAGCACCTGAATTTCCCGCGACTCGTGGGGTGCGCCTCACAATCTTTCACATCACGAGGCCATTCCTCCACGAAAAAGAGCCGCCATCGATTCTGCGGCACGGCGCAGAGCCACAGTCTCACAGATCCTAAAACAGGATCTCGGTCAGGCACAAGCTCCCCGCCAGACATGGATGACCATGGGTGACGTGCGCCGCCATGCGCAGGTACCTACCTACTCGCCGCCGTTGGAACCCCCTTTAGGCTCCGAAGACTCGCGAACGCAGGCAGGTCAGACTCGGAGGAACGGGCTTCTGGTTGAGCCGGCTTACCTCCGCCGCCGCGGACTGAACGAAAGTTATCCCCGTGCCTCCATTAGAGCATCTGCGCTCTGCTTGCCGACCGCCGCCGACGGGTTAGAGATACAGTAGTGCCACTACTCACCCGGCCGCTGGTCCTGTATCCCGTTAATGCCCCTGGTCACAGTCTGATGCCGTCACCACGGTTCGACCAGGGGATTGCGGCTTATTCATCACCCGCCCCTAATGCGCTGCAACCCGCGCCCGTCCGGGGATTTCGCCTCCGCCTGTCACCGAGATGTGTCGGCTCGGGACTTCGGTGTGGGCTGTGGAGGATCGACGCCCGTACCCAGTCCAGCGGACTCTAGCCCAGGCAAGTCTTGACAAGGTGACATGTTTGACCTCACACTTATTCCCACGTGGGGCGCAGCCGTGCAAGTTCACAACGTGCGAGCGGGTGCCGTGCAGAAGCTAGCATCAGGGAAGACGCATGGCGCATCATAACGCAGCATCCCGACTTGGAATCGCGTTTCGTTTGCATTTTTGCTTGCACATGTCTGCTTGTCACTGGTCCACTGTGGATTAATGAAAGGTGGCTCCGAGATGGAAACCCGATCATCTCGGACTACGCGTGGTTGTTACACGATGCATCAGGGATGATGCAAGGCTGAGCCTGCTGCATTGAACGACACACGCAACACCTATAGGTCACTGATAGGTGACAAACGGAACCACAAACTGGGCACCTTATTGTGTATCTGCAGAGTGTGTTTTCCTTGCTGGCTTTGAAAACCAAGTTGCAAGTCTGTACTCTAAATCTATTTACACCCCCTTGCTACGGCCAATATGTTCGAGTACATGACTCCATCTTACAATTCCGAAGCTCCTGTCATTCGCCAGCATAAAGCATTTGGCATAAATCTAGGGATGTTAGCCTGCATGACGCGTACAAGTACATCATCGTCTCGTAGAATGCTACCTCGGTAGGGTGAGTTAAACGTTGATATATCATGATTAGGTTCTCCCAAGCGTGAGATATTTGGAACCGATAATCTGTTCAAGTTATGCGAGCAACAGGTCCCTAGCAATTCGTGAATGACGCCGTATAATCATGCTGTTATACCATGGTCGGTGACATCCGAAAACCCGATGGTATCACGTTTGTTAGTGGCGCCTTCGTGCGTACCGCCAGCTGTTTGGGAATATTCGAGATAATGACATGGAAACAAGTCCCCTCACCGATGATGCTATTTCCAGGCCAAGATTGCAGACTCATGGTGAGACTAACGTATACAGACACTGGAAAACTGATATCAAGTTTGAGCCTTTTCTGACATGGGCTCGGTGCGATAGTGCCGATACTCGTGTAGTTGTGTTGCCGTAGGTGCATATTGTATTGTGTCTTCAAATCCTGATGCCGTGTCGTATGATGTCTCTTGATAGCCGTACCCCGTCAAACTCGATCCTTTGCGCATGTAAAGCTCGGGGAAGGGGGGGGGACAACTACATATCGTACATGATGTTTTCCCTCCTGAGATGCTGGATCACCCTTTTTATTTGAATCCCCTGAAGCCCCTTGACTGTAGCCGGAAAGAGATGATACTCTGATGCTATCCTACCTCTTTCTTGCGCCAGTAGAGCTACTATCTTTGATCAAGAATCTTCTTCAGCGTAAGGCGTAAGAAAGAAGAAGGAATGATCGGCTCGGAGTCAAAGGATTATCGAGGTCCTCATTATCCACTCTTGTAGCCCACAAGAGTTTCCGAAACAAAAGTTCAAGTTAATGGCGTAAAGTCTTTATCTTTTGTTTATATTTGCAATTCTATGCAAGGTAGACGGAAGAAAAAGTTGGCTTTCAGCCAGAGACTACCGAGGTCCTCGTCGTTCATTCTCGTAGCCCACAGGCGTTTTCGGACCAAACAGGTTGACGTAAACGTTCGTGAAAATGACAATGGCATCACGAAGGGCACATGGCCCTCATAAGTTGGGAGGGAAAGATGAAGCGTAGGGGGGAATTTCAAAAATGTGGCATTTGCATGCTTGAACATTGATGAGCCCAGTATTCGGATAGTTTGGTGGCTACATGACTTCTTTCCACACGACAAGGGTACTATGAAGAATGGCAACGTATTATCAGTTGTTGAAAAAGCCCGGTCCTGGGTGGTGGTGGTAGTGGTGATGAGGATGAAGCATGAAGGATATTCGGCCTTTCTTGATCCAAAGTCGGGGAAACTAGCAGCCTCGAGGGGTGCGAAGCATAGGTTGATAGGATTGTTTTGGCTCTTTGGAAGAGAGAATGGCAAAGCCCGAACATCTGTAATACTCCATGACTACTGCTCTTGAAAAGTACTGTATAATTTTCGGGCCTCTGTACCTGTGTACGCTCATGTGCTCCCTTCTGGCAGTTTTGATAGCAACCTACCCTGAGTCTCCAGCCAGGGTAAATTCCTCCCTCGCAACGACATTGCGTACTGGGCAGATTGATGTTTATTTCTATACGACAAAGGTTTGGAGAAACGGACGCAACGATCATGGCTACGTGGAAAGTAAGGGTCCTGCGGAGAATGGTAGAAGGACAAAAGAAGGTGGCGGTAATGGACATCAACCTCACCGTATCCCAACATTCGGCAAAACGTATCATCAATAGACCGGAACAGTTATGAAGGAGAGTACTTGATCATAATGGCATCACAAAGAATAGCACTAGGGAGCAGACATTTGTTTGATTTGATTTATATTCTTGTTTGATTGATCGTCGGACTTGAGTCTCGACATATTCCTCCTCTGACTCCTAATCTCGGCCCTCGGCATATGGCCTCACCGTCGCGTACCTAGTGGTATCGTTCTTTTCAAAATAAGGGCAGTCTCTCTCCCTGTCTCCAATGTGCGTGACGTTGATGTCATCGCCATGAGTATTCCCATCCATATAACGCCATCGCTTGCTAAGAATGTTCATCCCAGGTATCGTAGTACCATGCAGTCGCTAGTAATCAAAAAAGAAAAAGAAAATCGCTCGAAAGAT